GGAGAGAAGAGGAAGTATAGATTCTACTCATTCTTAACCTCAGCACTAGATAGGGGTGAGTGGTCAGCATTACACCCCAGCTGCACTTTCCTCCTAGGAAAGGACACCAGTACCTGTTAGACAGGAGGCTGTGTCAATGTTAATATCACACTATTAAATTAATATTTCAACTCGATACCACAGGTAAGTCCACAGCAAAAAAAAGATATTCAAAATTACACAATTTAAAGCTAGAATTATTTGACCCAAGCACTTTGAATTAACAAAATGTTAATGAACAATGATTTATGACAAATTTTCATTGAAAGAGAATCTGATATCATTTTTCAAGTACAAAGAGAGTGAGACAATTCATTTTCAGACAATGCCAAACCTCACACATGGTTTTAAGCTCTGGCATATAATTACAGATTGTATTTAAATGTTTGGCAGCAAGAGTGTTAACGCTGATAATCATTCAACAATTAAATGCCACAATTATATATGAATGGCAGTGAAAATAAAACGTGGACACAAATTAATCGAAGGAATTGGATTCAATTTTCTTTCAAATACAAGTTCCAGGTTGGTAGTTTTTGTGATTTTAAGCATTTTACAAGATAAGATGCGTCTTAGACACATGAAACTGGTAAGTTGTATGATTGGTGTCCACAACTACAGGCAACAAGTGACAATCTTAAATTTCCTAAAACATAATAAACTGAAGCAATAAAACTTGAATTCAAAAGAATTCCATCATACAAGAGATACTTGGTTGAAATACAAACATACGAGGGGCATATACAAATGATTTAGACTAACCTGAATTATGCGATCCTTTATGGTGGTGGCTCCCAGTTTACACTTCGGCCCGTTCCACATATTCTCCCTGGAGGTCGATTCACCGTTGCCATCTCTCTGGCAATTTCTGTATTGCCTCACGAAACCATTGTTTGGGAGTGTCTCATACCCACTCCCTGACAGCATCATGTAAGGCGTCATTATCGGGGAATTGAACACAGTTGCACGTGCAGTCACTGGGGTTCACCGTGCTCCAACAAAGGGAGTGGGAACGAGACACCCCCAAACAATGGTTTCATGAGGCAATACGGAAATTGCCAGAGAGATGGCAACGGTGAATCGACCTCCAGGGAGAATATGTGGAACGGGCCGAAGTGTAAACTGGGAGCCACCACCATCAAGGATCACATAATTCAGGTTACAGTCTAAATCATTTGTATACAACCCTCGTACTACTAAGCATTTTGACAGCATATTCAAATATAAACTGTCATAACTCAGGGATCTCCTTCCATTTTCCATTCATGCAGCTCAATACCCCTCACTGGTAGCCAGGTTGTGATGGAGGGCGACTATATGAAGCACCTTTGCTGTAGGGGTTACCAGTTGTAGGGGGTTGTGGTTGTGGTGCAGTAGTGAATCGTGGGGGTGCAAAAACACTTTGTTGAGGGTTATAGTCCTGAGGATAGCTCTGTGGTTGTGTTGGTTGAGATGGGTTGCTTGGTCGGTAACCTGCAGTTGATGTTCCACCCTTCTGAGGTCCAGGATACCTGAAAGGAATCAAACATTGATAGCTGATACCTGATATTAAATGGTGCAATGGATGTACATAGATATCCTAGAAAATCAATTCTCACAAGTTTTAGCAATATACGCATGTCTACGACTTTCGTGATGAGCCTAATCAAACTTGTTGACTGTAGTCTTCTATGGAAATTGCCCATAACATCACTATTTTCTATGTAGTCTTTTTGACTACATAGAAAATGCCATCTCATGAAAAACATTTTAGAAAGAATTGTTTCATAACCTTAAATAACTCATGTAATTTATTTGCCAAGTTCCTAGTAACATGTAGGTGTTCTGTCACAAAACTATACTCGAAGGGGGAATTCCTGTCACATTTATGGACTGCGTAGGAAACTCAATTCTAATTTCCCTCACCAGAAATTCAGAGAATCCATGAAAGGTTTTTCTCTTCAGATTTGAAAACATTGTTAAATCTGTTGTAATGATGAACTTAAAAATGTATACTCCTTCCCAGGTATTGTCAGGGTCATTAAGTCAAGAAGAATGAGATGGGCGGGGCATGTGGTGTGCATGGATGGGGCAAGAGGTGTTCGCTGGGGAGACCTAAACGTAGATGGGAGGATAATTTCAGGCAGGATCTATGGGAGATAGGAGTTGAAGGAGAACGGATTTTGTTGACCCGGGACAGGGTCCGACGGAGGGCTTTGGTTAGTTCGGTGATGAAACTTTAGGTTCTGTAAGCTATCTAGTTAGTTATTTGTTAAATCTGTTGAGAATAAAGGTTAAAAATGCAAGGATCTGCAAATGAACAATTGGAACACATCAAACAATTAGATGTAGCTATGTAATTATGTTTTTAAAGTTATCTATAGAAACTATAAAACGAATGTATAAATGAAACAAAAGTCTGACTAAAAATAAATGATAACAACCATGTAGATTGTAGTCTTCTGGGTTGTGACACCATGCAGGCTCATAAGTGGTTACTGCTACTACTGAGGAATGTACTGCCTCAATTTTCAGAGCAGACATATTCTTCAGATTTTAAATAACAATCACCTTCATGAAGAAGGTAATTTAGCCTGTTTAGAGTTCAAATTTAATGAAAATTCCACTGAAATTGCATTAAAAATTTAAATATGAAAGTGTTAAAACTGACACCACAATCAAATCTATGGATGTACTTGGTGTTTTCTTTCAGTTTCCAAATGTTTAAGTCATCTTATTTGATATTCTCTTACCTTTGTATTACAGTTACAGCTTGTTTCCTGTATCTGAACCATACTTAAAAACCAAGTACAAGTACTCTATGCACAGTCAGAGCTTTCAGGAATCATCACTGCTACTTCTATTTGGCTTTTATTTCTGGTAAGTCCATCATTCTGAGCCATACGACACATTCTGTATTACCATTATAAAATTTAAAGAGTTTGTTACACATCCTCTGAAAGCTATACAGTTTTCATACAATCCATCTCTTTATCTCATATATTAAACATTTATAAAACAATGAACACCAAATTTCATATTCCTTAATACAACAAGATAATTTTAAAAGATTTCTTAAATGATTTTTTTTAAATATTTAATATAATATAATATAATTTTATCACTAATTATTTAGTTAAAAATTGGAAACTTTAAAGAATGTAATAAAATTTGTTGTCAGGTTTTAGTTTTCAATGAAGTTCAGGATTCAGAAATTTAAGCACTACGATGACTGACACAAAAGCCCCTCACATATGCTATTTAAAAATTATGTCTGTAACATGTCTGCAATGCTTGAAATTTTATGAAATTATAATTTTATTACAAGGGAGTGAAGCCTAGGTCTGGCTGGAAGCAAAACATATATACACAGTTAAGACACAAGGAATCTGACAGTTTATGGCAACCAACTCACCCGGGTTGTACTGGTGGGTATGTTTGGTATGGTGAAGAAAAGCTAGGTTGACCTAATGATTGTTGTCCATGCACCAGCATGCCAGGATTTTGTTGACTCATAACTTGCCCACCCATAAACATTGGCTGGACTTGATATCCAGGAAATCCTGGAAAAAAAAATGCTATCTACAATCATCTTTGCAACATGCCCTTCATAAATACATGATTCTGCACGTGGATCTACGATCACTCTACTATGTTTCTACACAGAAATATAAATACAAACTTTTTTTAATGATTTAATAAATGAAAACCATTCTGTATAACAAAAGTTTAATACAATGATCTTTTCCTTACTTTAATATCTAAAAAAGCGAGTAATATTGAACTTACACACAAACATCACTGAAAAATCATTCTGAAAGCTTAAAATGCAGTAGCTTACTGCACGTAAGTCAAGCTTTGACTGACTAACTTCCTACCTAAATAATTTTAACTTAATCACACAGGGTCTTCAGCAAATAAGTTATTCAGATGATCAGGAAATTTTATTTTATGGGATCTGAAGGTTAAACACCATCATTAGAAAACCTGCCTCAGGACCCTATCTTGAGCCAGTTACATCTAGACCACATGTTTACAGCCCACCTCTTTAATCAATATTATCCTTTCCTCGAGGCCCAACTCTCAAAATTATCTCTTTCCATGAGGTTTACCAACCACAATTCAGTATTTGTTTCCCCATGAATGCTACTACATATTCTGTCAAACCCTTTAGACAGAGTACAAATTATGAAGTTCCTCACTGTGTAATTTTCTCCATTTGCTATTTTTTTAATCTCTTATATAATGAGAGAAAATACAAGTATTCACATTAAGACTTCTTTCTAAAAAATAACTGTAGTTAGGTTTGGTACACAATATTTTATCTCCACAGTAAGTTTTCTCCAGCAGAAGTAACAGAAAAGTTTGAAAAACTGCTACATTAAATTCTCAGCTCATGCTACACTACCTTGCTGTTGGTAAGGTTGAACAGACTGGGGTGGGGGTTGTTCAGGAGGTTGGTAGCCCTGTGAAGTAGGAAGCTGCTGCTGCTGCTGTGGCAGTGGCTGAGACAATGGCGGTGGCTGGAAGCCTGACGACTGCTGCTGCTGCTGTCCACCAGACTCAAACCCTGAAGTGACTTGCCGAGAGCTCGAACTGCCAATACTGTCAGGTGTACTCCCTCGCCCAGTTTCAGAAACAGCAGCTTGATTACATAAACACACAACATATGAGGTAACTGATTTTTATGAAAAAATATTCATGATGTTTAAATCAGTTTTTAATAGACTTACATAATATGAATTCTGGGCCAAACTCACTATTTCCTTTGCAAGAGGATGAAACAGACTGGGCATGCATGATGTATGATGAAACAAGAAAAGCATACAAAATGTGAACTGGAAAACCTCAAGGAAAAAGACTACTTACAAAACCAATGCAACAAGTGAAGGATATTAATTTAAACAGACCTTAAAAATTTGATTGTGGGGATATGAACTGGACTGAATTGATTAAGGACATGGTCCAAAGATGCACTTTCACATTGAAGTGATGAACTTTCAAGATTCCAAATCACAATGAGACTTTTTGGAAAACTAAATAATGAATCAGTGGTAAGAGAAGAATATGTATCAAGAAGAGTGTTTTAATTAAGTAGCTATTTCATTAGTTTGTAAGACATTCAGGAAGTGTTTTTCCTATTAAAAAAGCAATTTCTTGTACTATGGAAACAAATAATAGCTGTGAAAAATATGTTAGTTTGACAAAAGTATAGGTTTATAATACTTTTGTTGAATAAAATAATTTTACCTGTTCCAATTTTTCACCAAAAGAATGAATGAAAACCTGTTTATAAAAGTTCATTTAAAAGGAGAGCAGAATGTTAAGCACAGACCACAAAAGAACACATATTTATCACCCATGTAACAGAACCAACTGTATGTAAATAAACTTAAAAAAATAATAGCTCTATATAATGTTACCTTCAGGTTGAGCCTCTTCCGTTATATTTCCGGTCCCAATCGTCTCTGCACTATGGTTTTTCTTCAGCCATGCCTGTTCTTGTAGGGGGTCAAACTCTCTAGAACTCAGTTTTGATGCAGCACTATTCCTCTCAGGAACTCCATCTGTAAAACAGGGAGGCAGAAGTAAATAATACTCAAGGTGCAAGAAATAACATAAAAACTTCTTACCTCCTTTCACTCATACATTAACATTTCATATGCATAGTACCAGCTTGTTGTTAAACACATTTCTAACTTCCAAGTCAAAATTCTGAAATACTTTTAGAGGAGTAATTCTTGTTACAACATACAGTAGTAAATTTCAACCAAATCTGAGTGGAAAAGATAGATGGAATCTTCAGAAAAATGTTCCTGTAGACAGGGCTGTGGAGTCGGTACTAAAATCTCCGACTTCAACTCCGGCTCCGATTCCTACTTTTTCATGAAAGCTCAATATGTATTAATAATGGTAAACCTACTAAAATGGTAAATGGTACCACAAGCGATTTCATCACCTCCATGTTAATCATCAGGCTATTTTATTAGATTTATAATCTATATTTAAATATACGGGATCCGCAATGGCCGCGCGGTCTCAGGTGTGGGGCCATGGGTTCGAATCCCACTCAAGCCATGGATCGTGTTTTTCTGTGTTGTGCTGTCCTGTGTACAGGTATATGCCTTACAAAGGGCAAATCCCTCATCCAAGGAGTCCTACCGAATGTCTATAGATCAAGCCAACGAAAAGTTGGGACCCGCAGTGCTCAGGCACTTGAAGAACGGGTTGTTCCCAGTATCCCAGTATTTAAATATACGTCTAATGGTTATTGCAGAAATCTGTTGGTTTGTAGACAGTTTGTATTCTTAAGGTACTGGAGCCAAAGTTACAAGGCACCCACACCATGTGGCTCAACGCGTCATTGAATCTCCCTAAGCGTGAGGCCGCCGGCGGCCCACACAGTAGCGAAAGTGTTCTTAAGACTCCACAGCCCTGCCTATAGATACAATTTGTGCAACAAAAATGAAGCACTTGAAACAAGTCCCAAATTGGAAGTTACATAGATGTAAAACTAGAATCATAATTCCAGTCATTTGTACTCTTGTATTTGCTCATATGTGCTTTACTCTACTTTCCAGTAATTTAAATTATTTACGCTAGACGTCTATTAAGAAATGATGACTATATGCCTGCCTAATTTGAAGAAACATGAATTAATGTTAAAGACTTTTCCGAGTCCTGTGCCCAAGTCTAATGGTTATACAGAGGTGAGGGTTATACTTCAAGCACTTGCTTATGTTCCTTCAAAGACAAATTAATAGGGTAAGGGAATGCCATTAATGTGAAGATCGCATGTGCAGGTTCAAGACCTATACCTGATAACTATTAATTTAAACTGGAAACAAATAGTTCATGAGAATGAATGAATCTGGTTATCCCGTCTGCTATCCAAAACACTAAAGATATATAAAACAATAATTTTGCCTGTTGTTTTGCATGGTTGTGAAACATGGTCTGCTACCTTGAAGGAAGAACATAGATTACAAGTGTATGGAAATAAGGCGCTCAGGAAGATATTTGGGCCGAAGAAAATTTAAATAAGTGGGGAATTCAGAATATTACATAATGAGGAGCTGTATGAATTGTATGGGTAACCTAGCATAGTGAGGGCATTGAAAACGTGGAGGCTCTGATGGGCTGAACATGTAGCACGAAGGGGGTGCATACAGAATTTTTGTGGGAAACCCTTATGGAAAACGACTACTGGGAAGACCAAGAAGGAGATGGGAGAATACTATTAAGATGGATCTTAGGAATATAGGCTGTGAGGATGGTAAATGGATTGAGTTAGCTCAGGATTGAGTCCAAAGGCGGGCTTTGGTGCTGTCAGTGTTGGACTAGCAAGTTCTGCTGCCAGAAAGTTCATTAGTTAATTATAGTGAACACTTGAAAATATAACTCTTAACCTTAAACTTGAGCACAAAATTAGGTTTGTCTAATAATAATTTCATTAATATCAAGAGAACAGGCAGGTTTAGGTATCCCTACAGACATCAACAGGCACTGTTCCTTCTACAGTCACATTCCAGCATTTATTCTTTCACACTACTTTCTCACTATAGATGTGATCTTAAGACTAATCCTAAGCACATCACTGAATAGTATCTTCCTACATGGGCACACATGCACGTGCACACAAACACATACTCATACAAAACATACAACCCTTCATCCAGGCTCTCTTTACTTCTACTTCATGGCAGCACATTAATACGAAATGAAATTTCTTCCAACAAAACTCTCATTACTAAAGGCACTCAACAACTTTTGCCATTTTTAACTTTTTTCCAGAGGGTGATTTCCAATGACACGTGTGTTTCAACATACACTGAACTTCAATGGACCAACTGAGGGCTACATTCAGAGAGGACGGGTTGGTTAAAAGCCCTTCTTAAATGTCTGGTATTTTATGTAAATAAATAAAACTGATTTAGACAAGAAATGTTCAGTGACAAAGAATCAATATTCATGTTAAACAACTCATTTGTAAATATTTATTATAAAATGTTTTTAATTTCTTTTCTTTTCTTTATTGAACCATAATAATATTTTTAGGGAAATCTTTTTTACAAGAGAAACTTGCACCTAAGATATTACTATATTTACATCTAACAAATTCTTGTCTTCAAGAATAAATCTCTCTACTCACTACGATTCTCTGCTGTGGAGCTGGTCACTTCCACAGCTCGAGGCTCTATTGAGTCTAAAAGATGGTTTACTTGATCTCGGATGTGTTGGAGTTCACGTCGGATGTGATTCACTTGCACAGGCTGCAAGCTCTGGTTGCGCTGATTCGCTTTGTCCTCTCCTCCAACCAGAATCTGAAGCTTCAGGATGCGACTGTACTGAACAGCAAATGCCAGGTCCGAGCTGTCAAAAATGGTGATCAGATCCCCATCTATCACAACACAACACTCAAATTACACCTTGTTATATTCGTGAATGTCATAACTACAGTTCGGATGTTCACGACCTAAAAACCTGAGAAATATGCATGGAAATATGCCCCAAAAATAGCGAAATATGACCTAATTTGTTATGAAAAAATATTTGCTAAAATTTAAAAAATCATTTTGTATTTCAATCATGTTAATTATTTACATATGCATGTACAACTATTACATTACTTGATTTCCTATCAACTTTAATCAAAAACCTCAGTCGCTTTAAGCTGTAAATGCCTCGTTTTGGATCAGCATCAGATGTTGAGTATACGTGCTCCTACAAAAATAAGATAAATTTTAAGAAGAGTCTTTCATGCATTTCAAATTCATTAATTACAAATAAATAAATAAACAAAATTCAAAATATTAAGTACCTTTCTTCATTCTCCTTTCTTGGCAGCATTACAATATGTAACGATTTGCATTTTTAAGGTCTCAAATGAAAATCTTATTAGATTGTCGCACAATATGGTCTTGTAACTTGAGACATCACAAACGTTTCATGACGTTATCAAAAATTATATCGATATAGGAGTGGTTTACTGTATCAAGAAGGAATAAGTCACCAGGGCGTTTGGCAAAGTGTGTGTCAATAACGACATTCGCTACATATTTGCCGCAGTCATCCATTGTTTCATAAACATAAATCCAAATCTTACTGTCGCCCACAGTAAATGTAATTCTTTTCAGAACATCTTCATAACAGGCAGGTACATAGCTTTTTCGTAGTATTGATTCGTCTGGAATTAACTGAGTCAAGTTTTTCTCCAAGAAAAATTTGAACTGCTCATTGTTCACTTTGTTCAGTTCGCAGACACCATCATTTCACACAGGGATTCACTGTAAGTGTCTGAGAAATGTGGATGCAAGTAAAAGTTTAAAATATAACCAAAATATGAATCTTATCCTCAAAATATAACCGAAATATGCATTTAACTACAAATATGACCAAACACATATAAATGACCTAAATATGCATTTATATGCAATATAAAAACAGCATAATTGTGATTAGGATAACCCAGTTAGTGTTTAACTTTAGTTTAGAATGAAAATAGAAGCCCCAATAAAAATATGACATGTCATGAACATCCGAACCCTACTTGTGACTAATAAAGGCCACCGTGACTCTAAGTTAGGCAGCAGTTATTATGTGGCAAAATTAAAAATTCCCATTGATGAGAGATCTCATTTTAATGCACAGGTATACTTTTTAACCATCTAAACTCATCCAATTGTAGCACAATATTCTTTACAATACCCTTAGATATGGTTTTATCCATCACAGCATTCGCTGCTTAATAAGGATGAGGGAATCCACATCTAAGGTTGGATCACCAATTCCACCAGAGAAGACTAGCGTAACCTGAACTAAGAACTCTGGCCCAAATTATGACCCTGACATTCCCAACACTTACAGCATACAGTACTGGTTCCCACGCTTCACACTCTGCATATGGCAACTATAATGTTTTCTGCCAAAATGGATACAACCAAACTAACTAACTAGATGGCTTACCGAACCTGAAGGTTCATCATCGAATTAACCAAAGCCCTCCACCAGACCGTCCTGGACCAACAAAATCCAGTTTCCTTCAACTCCTATCTCCCATAGATCCCGCCTGACAATATCCTCCCATCTACATCTAGGTCTCCCCAGAGGTCTCTTCCCATCAGGCTTCCCAACCAATACCTGGTGCACACCTCTTGTCCCATCCATGCACGCTACATGCCCCGCCCATCTCATTCTTCTCGACTTAATCACCCTGACAATATTGGGGGAGGAGTACAGATTTTTAAGCTCATCATTATGCAGTTTCTCATATCCTTTTTCAATTGCCATGGTCGTGCCAAAGAGTCCGTCCTGGTCCAAGGCCTGGTTAATGTGTTCGTAACAATGTTTTTTTTAAGGTGAAAGGTTGTTAGCCTTATGCCCAACCCCCAACCTGGAGGACCAGGGTATCACTCTTAGTCTGGCGCATCACCTTAGACCTGTCCGGCTTGGGTGACCCTACCATGAGCCAAAGCTCCGGCCGGCATAGCCCTAAGGGTCATTTGAGCATGCAAGCCTCCTCACCTGGCAGATTGCCTTCGACAAGGTATACAACCAAGCTAACACTAGAGAACCAAGACCAACCACTCAAAAAACCTATCGTCATTAAATATGCAACATTTTGACACTGCCAAGAGATGAAAGATGAAGAATGCAGTCTCAAATTTGAAACCTTTGACATCACAGCCCATCACCTTATCTCTATGCAGCAAGGTCACCTTAATGTTCAACCACATATCACACGAATCTGCATTATAAAGGTTAAATGCATCAGTTACCTTCATCTTTATATTTGATGGTAATATCATCAGAGCTGCTGAGCTTTCCCCTGAATACCCGTTGCATCATAAGAACCAGCTCATCATATGTTATTGCTTCATTATGTATTGGAATACGCCGAACATCATCACCAAGCTGGGCCTGTGAAACATGTAAATACACAAACACTTCATCCTTTCACTGTGAGTGAACCAACCGAATCAATGAGACATGTTCTACTACGCTTGCCTTTATCTAGCAGCTGTGCTGAATCTGGTTTTCTAATACATGTAGACTGTAATATACTGGTAAAATCTTTCTGCCTCTTCCCACTTCCTTCTGACCTGTCTGCTTGGTGGTTAGTAGGAAACCACCTACAGTATATGCATAAAGCAGTTAAGTCCACTGCTGTTTTGTGATTAGCAACCAAGTGTGGTTTTAAATTATAAAGTGAACTGTTTATTTATAGATTTATCGCCCATGTGATAAATAATAGAAAAAATGCATATTACATTCTTTCAATTTCAGAACTTGAATTCAATAACAGTAAGAATAATTTAGTGTTTTGTCTCTTGCAGTGTACCAACTTTAATGTACCAGTTACAATGTTAAAAAAAGAGTCTTGGTATTGTTTGCAGTTTTAATGAATGTTTGTGTCCTTCATTACAATGCTGTGTACTCTTATAAGTGCTTACCCATATTTTTCTAGGTTGAAGTGATCCTGAAGATAAATGTGGTTCATGTACTGGGATTGTCACATGGGTGTAAACAGGACACATGCACACAGAACACAGCAGCTACTAAAGCATGCAAATAAGTTCCTTCTATGGTCTAAAACCATCAACAGCCATTACATAATGACCATTAATTGGATACTTCATACACAAAACAGAAGTGGTGAAGACTATATATTTACATCTACCAAAATCGTTGCCTTGCAATCACTGATATGAAAGGTTGGCAACACTCCTGGCAAAGAAAAACGAACATACCGTACCTTAATTATTAGTTTTCCACTTAAATCCAGTTGTGGATACGACTGTTCCTCTCCACTACCCTTTGAAAAAGTGGCATTCATTGTAGCAAGAACGAATCTGTAGAAATAAATATTCATTACACAACATTCTGAACTATCATTTCGATTAACTTTGTTTGTTCATCACCATTTAAATCGTAAAGATAAAGATAAACGTTCATTAATGTTTTTAATTGAAAAGAAAGAGCACACCCACATGAGTTGCAAATACATTGGGGGAATTGTACATTTCAATACTGATTGATTATCTTACCGTTTAAGCAATTATATCACAAGAACGTGATAATTACGCCTTAATGGTGTTTGGCAAAACTGAAATAAAACAAATTACTAAACTTACTAACTACATAAACACATCTATCAAAATGACACCATGAAGATCATAATACCGGCGAAAATCATGGATGCCGAACATTGATAACATAAGACGAATATGTTCATTGGAGTCACAGATCACAAACGAGACACGAATGAAAGTGCCACGTTAAAACTAATTAGATTCTGTGACAATAAGAAATGCTCAACACACAATATGAAACTCGGCACAGTAATTATGTGCGATACATACAGAAACAGGTTACAGAACACGAACATAAGGAATTTAACGCGGCAGAATCCTTCGCAAGCAGAACCCAAAGGTTTATTACAGTGTGCACAACAGCTCGCAACCAGTCCCTGTTGTGAGCTACACCCTCCCATTCCGGTCCCTTTTAACCCATTTTAATATTATCCCCCCATCTACGCTTACGTCTTCCGCCTTCAGCCGTTTCAATAAAAATGTTTGCCAATTTCTTGCGTCCCTTTGCTACATGCCCTACCTAACTTATATTCCTTGATTTGATACTCCTAATGATGCTGAGCATGGTGAAGAGTACAAATTATGTAGGCACACATTTCCGTACTTCCTTCAGCATCCTGTAGATTCATCCCTCTCAGGACCAAAGATTATCATAAGCACTGTTCTCAAACACCCTCTCTTAGTATGAGAGACCAAGAAAGAGATAGACCGTAGATTACAAATACATGATTCATAGTAGGCGTGACAGTAACAATACAGAATGAGGTATTATCCGTACTTCTCAATTCGTGAGGCTTGGCCACTCAATTGTAGGTTTTACACTGCGTTACAGTTTACAGAGGCATTAAGACATCCCTAGAGTTTACAAAATGTTAACATTAAATTCAGAAAGTTTCTAAAACTATTGCGTGTAACCCAGAGCTAGTCTGTCAGCGATGACTTCCTACAATAATTCCACACTCACCACTGATAAAAAAGTTGACAGTAGAACCACGGTTCCGGAGAATCTGACGTAAATACGTCTCTGTAATGTAATAATTCTTATATAAGATAAGATAAGATAAGATTCTAAAACGTTTTTACCAGCACAAAATTATCTAGTCTCCAACGCACTTCTTCTACAAGCGATTCACAGCTCAGCTCTTTCCGCAATAACGAAAGCGGATTGTTGACGGCAGTAATGTAACACAATAATGCAGAGTAAACAGATGACGTAACAATTAGTTTCTTAGGTAACATAACCATTGTTGTCGGTCCATATTTACACATTATTGATATGGATCTTACACATCTTCATTACGCTTTTTAGCCCAATGAGCCTTCCGTATAGACGTATTTACGTCAAAAACCTGAAGTAAGATTTGAGGTTTCCACGGCTCTGAGTCTAAAGATGACTGTCTTCTGGGTTGCGCCGTGCAGTCTTAGTGTTTACCGACGGTTCAGAGGTCGTTGCTGCATGATGTTGGAGGCCCCGAGAACCTCTGAAACAAAGGTAAACTTCTGCCAGACTACATAGCGCAAGAACCCAGAAGACAGCCATCTTCAAGAAACCTGAAGAGAAACATACAAGTTATCTCCGTATTTTAAACTAAACTCTCGATTTCATGCTGCTCTTTACATCTCAAAAGACACTTCACATCAATGGCAGAAACGTGTTTCACTGAAAATATGGCAACACAACATACTTCCACACTGTACAAACTGGATCACGTATTAAGTCAAAACCAAAACGTGAGAGATAATTAGAAGGGTCTTAGATTCTCACGGCGGGAATAAGAAGGTACCCTCTGCAACGTCAGCAAGCTGAAACCAGACTACGGGGCACTACAACTAAGAATACAGCCATCTTTCTGAAAGATAATTGTTTGGAGTGTGTCTTTACCGAAAAGGAAAGCGGTCAATGTTACATTTCAGGGATGCCAACATTGTCAACATTAGAGGAATTCCCACGCGTGAAAGTTGTACGAGTGACACATGGCATGAGAAGGTTATAAAAAGTATAGATTTAAAATGATATATTTTCTGTTACTCTTGTTTATTCTTTTCGCCGGGTCAAGAACAATATATGTTATTTATAGTGTACACAAAATAACAAGGAAGTCAGTTGCGAAATGTTTCCGTCCTTTGAGGACAGCAATTATTATTGGTTCTGGAGGTCACACGACTGAGATGTTAAAATTACTTCAGAATCTCAACCCAAGAAACTATTCACCACGAATTTATATAATGGCTTCTACAGATACATCTAGTGAAGTTAAAATTCACCAAACAGAAAACAATTCTTTCTCACGTAATGGGTCACCCTGCTATGAAATTGTCACAATACCGAGGAGCCGAAGTGTGGGCCAGGCATACATTACGTCTGTGTTCACAACCTTTTTTGCCTCTTTTGCATCGTTGCCAGTCATGCTCAAGAAACGACCAGAACTTATTATCTGCAATGGGCCAGGAACATGCATACCAATTTGTGTTGTAGCATTTCTGATGAGGGTCCTATGCATAACGAATTCAAAAATAGTGTTTGTTGAGAGTATCTGCCGGGTGAAGACTCTGTCTCTGTCTGGCAAAATACTGCTGTTGTTTGCAGACAAAGTTCTTGTGCAGTGGCCCAAGTTGCATGAAGTTTACAGAAGAACTACATACATTGGAAGATTAACATAACTGTAACAGTGGTGTATGTATTTTCTGTAAACTGTAATGAGCTGAAGGCTTAGTCATTTGCATATAAAACATTTTCATATTTCAAATGGATAGTTGTGTTCAGTCATTTCCGATCAATTCAGGCATTGTTTCACAAGATCACAACTAACTAAATAACTAGATGACTTACAGAACCCAAAGGTTCATCACCAAATTAACCAAAGCCCTCCACCAGAGCCTGTTCTGGGCCAACAAAATCCATTCTCCTACCTCCCATAGATCCCGCCTGACATTATCCTGCCATCTACGTCTATGTCTCCCCAGCGGTCTCTTCCCCTCAGGCTTCCCGACCAAAAACAGGTGCACACCTCTTGTCCCATCCATGCGCGTTACATGCCCCGCCCATCTCATTCTTTTTGATTTAATCACCCTGACAATATTGGGGGAGGAGTACAAATTTTAAGCTCATTATTATGCAGCCCTCTCCAGATCCCACCACCCTCTCTCCTAGGCCAAAATATCCTCAACACCCCATTCTCAAACATCTGCAATCTATGTTCCTCTCTCAGAGTGAGAGACCTTGTTTTGCATCCATACAAAACAACTGGCAAAAGTATAGTTTTGTATATTTTAATCTTCAGGTTATTAGAAATCAGACGGGAAGACAAAATAATTTGAACTGACAAGTAGTAAGCATTACCGGAATTTAGTCTCCTCCTAATTTCGTCGTAAATTTTGTTTTGATTTGTTATTGTTGTTCCCAAATATTTGAAATTTGTAACCCTTTCAAAGGACTTATTAGCCACCCTAAGATAATTTTGCCCGCCTGTCTGCTGACGACGAGATACTAACATGTACTTAGTTTTTTCTGAATTTACTTCCCCGTTCAATTGCAAACCCTCCTGCCTATCTTGGACTTTCCTGATGGCATATTCTAGCGCAAAGTTAAAGAGCAAGGGAGACAAAGCATCTCCTTGTTTTATACTGTTCTTAATGGAGAGTGAGTCAGATAAATAATTACCTATACGAATTTTGCTACAGGTTTCATTTAAGCCTCGTTTTTATTAGACTCACTAGCTTCTTTGGTATACTAAATTCAATAAGATTATTATATGGCACTTCTCTCTTCACAGAATCATAGGCTTTTTTAAAATCTATAAATAATTGATGTACGGTTCTACTGTACTCCCATTTTTTTCTCAAGTATCTGACTGATGCAAAAGATCTGATCAGTTGTCGATCTGTTACGTCTGAACCCACACTGATAATCCCCAATAATTTCATTCACATATGGAGTTAATCTCACCAAAAGAATATGTGATAGAAATTTGTACAAGGTTGATAATAGAGGAATTCCTCGGTAATTGCCTCTGTCTTGTCTTTTTTATGAATAGGAATAATTATGGATTCCTTCCATTGTTGTGGCATCTCTTCCTTATCCAAAATTAACTGAATAAGCTTATGGATCTTAATGTGCAACCTTATGCCACCTGCTTTAATTAATTATTTAATTTTCAACTTTCCAATGGCTAGTTCAACCTCATCTAAACTAGGTTCTGGCACAAACAATTCAGCTGTATGTATTCTAATGTCTAACATCATCAGTCCCATGAACATTTAAGACGAGCTGGTTAAAGAAATTTTTCCACCTATTCAAAATTTTGATTGGATCTGCTAGTAAATTGCCATTATCATCCTTTACCAAATTAGTCTGAGGTTGATAATAATAATAATCCATGGCGTAACAGCCCTATGAGAGCCAAAGCCGACTAGCTGGCTGCTGGCCTCACGATCACATGCCTAAGCAGAGGTGAACGATCATCCAACCAGATATAGGGTGACGTGTGGTCAGCATGACGAACCCCCAGCCATTGCTAGTTTCCATGACTGGATTACGCTACCCATTGTAGCTCCCCAGTTTCCTCATGATGCTGGGTTGGCACCGGTCCCATACACCGGTCAAAAATCTCATGAGAACTGAGGTTGATATACCCTTTCTTAAAATGATTATATTTATGCCTCTGTTCAGGTCTTTGATATTTTTGTCCTTACTATTTGTCTCAAGCTCAATAATTTTGCCCTTCAGATATTCCCTTTTCTTATTCCTAAAGGTTCCACTATATTCATGTCTCATGTTACGTAGCTTATCCGTATTCATTTTGTTTGGATCCTGCGACTAGATCATTCTTAGTGTTAAATATGTACTCACTTGGTACATGTCCACAGTTCATGCAGGTCTTCTGCAGAGACCCATGTAGTTGTAGAGAGTATGCTTTAAGCCACATGATCTCAGCACCGAATTTTGTGTATGATCATTGCTAGTCTCAGACTGGACTAGGTCTAAGACTGACTTAACTAGAGGGTCAAACAGATAGGCAGAATCCAGCTTCTGAAACATTGCCCTTTTCTAATTTAGACAATAAACAAAGTCCAAAAGAACAATTTTACATATTATAACATATCAGAACTTTCAAACTTTGACTACACTGTAGGCAGAAGAAAAGCTGTACGCTATGAAAATAATTTTACTTTATTTAACATATTGTGCATAACAGTTCATGTTATAACAAATCAAACAATGTAAAAAAAAAAAAAAGGTAACCACCAATTATTTCCACTGACCTGTTACTGAATATGGTTTATAAAACTGAACACAAGTGTTGATTACACGCTGCCAAGAACAGCCATAGTTAAATTGGTACATACTGAGAAGAATCTTATATACGAGAGGTCTCTAGTTATCAAGGAATGATACATGGATGTAGCTTTGTAGAAAGTAGTGACCCTTCAGAATGGACCGAAAGCTGTATCATATGAAATAAGAATATAATACAGCATACTACAAGTTTGCTAAATAAAATTGGTTTGAAATGTATTGCACATTTCCATGAGCATATAAAACAATATGTAATAACGGCTGACAAGCTACTACTGCAAGAAATTAACTTCAATGATGAAGGTGCGTATCTGCATGGGGCCCAGTGTGATGGTCAAGGCATCCTTATCCTCTTTTGATGAATCTTCATCATCTTCAAGAGTAAAATTGATATCATTTTCTGACTGCCACTTAAACCTATGTGATTCAGATAACCACTGGTTACCTCCCAATGTAGTCTCCCGAGCCATCACAATGGAGAATGGCTTGAATAAATTCTGAAACAGACAAGAATTTATCATTCTAAATCATACAGTTCCTTAAGTTTATGTAATATTATCTCACTTACTTACCCTTTTTTAGGACAAATTATTTTTCTTATCACTTTCCTTTCAAGCACTTTAAATGTTTGTTACCGTGAGTTCCAAAATTCACTTTTCTCTTTCATACATACAGTTACATCTGTAGATGTTTTGTCGTTAGATCTGATACAGTACCTTAAGGTTGACAGTGGCTGGCTTAGAGAACACAGGGTGCTCATTCCTCTCATAAATGTGCTCAAGGCGAAGGAGGAAAGAATGAGCCTTCCATGGTTCTAGTGTTAGGATGTGAACATTCTCTGGCAGCTCTTGGTTCAGACCAGAGAACTGCAAATAGACAAAAGAAGTTACTCATGCTTGTTTCCTACAAATGGCAACTTGAAACCTTTCTGTTCCAAATTAACCCTCCTACTGGCAATTCTTGGAATATGTATGGATTATGCATGAGCTGTTTTGTAACTGAATATACTTACAAGGAAGACTTACGTGCCCAGGACAAGAAGTAGAATGTTCAATAATAAATATTTTGCATTATGAAATCTCTTAAGAATTACGTTCCAGGAAACCATTCTTTATGTAGCGGGCCTTACAGAATTCTTACATCCCAAGCACAATCTGCCTTAGCTTATTCAGTTCAGTGGCAGGAAAGGGGTTAGACAAATTTACATCATTTACTTCTTTTGTTTTAACTGTCAATTCACTTCCAATTTATGTTCGTGTTTATAGCTTCTGGTGGTTTTCTTGCTCTGACATTAGTGCAGAACACCTTATTGGCTCATCCACCTGTCTGTCACCTTTTTCTAGAAACTAGGCAACCCCCATGAGCTTTGACCATTTCTGAAGCACAATGTTGCAACAATGTAAAGTGAGATTTTTGTTGAAACATTGCTGCAACAGTGTGAAGCAAGGTAATTGTTGGAACTCAACTTTGTGAACAATAATAATAATTTGAACACACAGTTACAACAATGCAAAACATGGGTAAGTCACTGGATAATTGTTGCAACAATTATCTTGGATAAAATTATTACAAAGATCCTGATACCATTGTTGCATTTATTCCCTCTAACAAATAGAGCACCACTACCCACATACTTTTTTAACAGTTTGCCTTAGAGCTTTTCTGGCAGACACAAAAATTCACCATTCAACATTGTTTCTTCTGGTAAACTGCTGAAATGATTCACGTACTTCCCATACCACCAGCAGCTCACAAACAATTTGGGAACCAAAACCCCAAGTTAAATAAGTAATATTAACAAATTTTCATATATTATACAATGTAAATGTATGCTGTTATAAAACAAGATTGCCAAGGCGTACACTATAAATTCCAAAGGTGTTCTTCACACATCACAATTGTTCATATCAGCAGAGCAATGGAAAAAGAAATGTTATTTTCATAGCACTTGATTTCCACAGTTAAGTTCTCTTTCATGTCAGAGGAAAAATGATTTGTGAAATACCATGAAACAGGATGTATGAAGGTCAAGTGAGCAGTTGAAAGAATAATAATGATTTGCAAATTTGAATTTGTCTGTGCTATGAGTATTAATGTAATTTCTTGCACATACAAATCAATTTCTTAATTTCATTCATCTTGTTCTTAACTCTGGTGGCAGAAAATCACAATGAAAAGGAATGTAAAGCAATGTCCATTGTTCACAGCTAATCAGAATAATGGAATGAATTATTCTACATGAAGTTTGTTAAGTATACAAAACAATGAAAAATGCTTCAAAAGTATATTTTAACTGAGTATGTACATATATTATGAAATAATTATTTTATAAAATGAGCCATTTTGGAGAAAACTAATGAAGTCAGAATTGAACTTCATGTGAAGTGTGGTTATGTTTGAAAGTAGGAATAAAAATCAAACCACTCAGTAGTTTCAGAACTGAAACTTGAAAACTCCACATAACATGTTCCTTTTATGAATTTTGTATAAGGAATGCACAAGAAGGGAAAACTTTAAATGAAAGCATGTCAGGTGGGAGACCAGACAATACAATTAGCAAAGAAGGGTTACATGGAGTGATAAAATTCATCAATGGCTTTGAAGAATGTAATCATCATCTTACCTCCATCTTATAGTGACTGACCCATTCTGTGAAGCTGATATTGTCAGCTGGAGTGAAGAAAAGCCATGGAGATAGCAACACTTGCTGTTGCAGACTGCGTGTTCTTTGGGCTGCAGTGCCAGAGGAAATATTTCCACCAGTAAGCCAGTGCTTTCCTATTGCAACGAGACCATGACCAAACGCAGTCTCATTGAGGGCCTCACTTACACCAAATGCATCATCATGCAACAGTCGGCGGTGGACCTGGAACATGTCGCATATTAGTTATTCCTATACAGGTATTGAAAGTACTCACCAGTGGTGTAGTGTATTTCACAGTTTCAAAAGGTTAGAGTTCTATATTGTTCATAAATACTCCCATTTCACATTGTGCATGTATGCACTGGGAGATCACTGCCCCAATAAAAAGTTTCATATCTGATTACTACACATGTCATCCAGTTATGATCTTTCAGTATTAGCTATTTTTAACTTATAGAGCAGAGCGCTCCTTTCGGAACTCCTCGGGGGGGTTGGTTGCGTTTTAAAATCTTGAGTAAGAAACTAAACCAACCCCCCGAATAGGGGGTTAAAAAACTTGACTAACCCCCTTTGGGGGGGGGGGGGGGTTAGTTTAGTGTCTTACTCAAGTCATTTGTTTACTCGGCATTGTTGTGTTGGTACAACAATGCCGAGTAAACAAATATAACGTAACATTGTTTGATGACGTCATTTTTTGACGACGACGAAATCACAAATTTTATAGTAGATACTATTAGATGTGTTTTTAACATGCCACTACATAAATTTCATATGTTGAATTAAAATAATTCCTAGAGTAATAATCATCACCAAATTAAAATATTTTGTGTGGTTACTATGGTGTTATTTTCAATTTTGCAAACAAATTACCCTTGTGGAAGCTGCATCTTCAAAGATCCTATATTGAACGGTATTAATGTTGCATGTTCACATAGCTGTCATGTTGGTAATGTTAATGATGGAGAGCTGCATTGTACCGAGAATCAGAGGCCTTCAGTGGCATGATTCTAATACCAAATTCTGAAAGAATTTGTCAACTAGTATTTGTTTTATGGAACTTTGCAACAGAACCCATTACAAAACTTCAAGGCCTCACAAGTTCATACTGATACTGTCGATGACAGGGCGTCAGAATATAATAATATGAGGAGCTACCAAATGGCATGACATTCACACCAATTTTCACAAAAGTCTGTGAATGTGTACAATATTTTGGTAACAGTACTGGGCAGGTGGAAGGTTAAACAGATACACACAAGCAGCTTATAGAAGGATATTTGTTCCTTTGGAAGTTTAAACACAGATTGTTCAATATTAAAGACTAATTACAAATTGTAAGACATTCATTCCTCTTCAAATATCGTGACATTTACCATGAGTTCCACCTCCCCATTATTAAGACTGGTGCCTCCCTGGGCTCTGTCTGTCAGAATGGAAAATTCCTTATCTCCATCTCTCAGTGTGATTCTAGATGTTACAGGGTAATAATTTGCTGATACAGGTTCCTTAATATTCACAGACCATGTCGGACGGAAGTTGCGTTTTCGTTCCAGCATCTCACGTCCATTAGAATCGGTGTAGAAAAGACCATCAGACAGCAAGTCTGATTTAAAACGACTTATTATTTCCTTTCCCACATTATCACTGAAATAACATATGAAATCACATTAGATGACAGGTTTCCTTTTGTTTCCATAGCTGCAAGCTTCTCTCTTAAGTTATGGGAATAAAGTTTGATTTCCTGAGTAGAGAGGGATACTGAGTAAATGCCATCCATCTCATCCAAACATCAAATGTCCATTCACTGACTACATGCAACTGACACTCACTTGCTTAAATTCTCCAAGACTCGTAAGATTTGAGGTTTTCACAGCGGTGAGTATGAAGATTTCTGTCTTCTGGGTTGTTGCGCTGTGTAGTCTGGTCGATGTTAACCAACGTTTCAGAGGTTAACATCGATCAGACTACACAGCGCAACAACCCAGAAGACAGAAATCTTCACTCCAAGACTCGGCCAGACTGACAGGTCTACAGAAGAGTTAATAAAACTGGAATAGAGGCTTTTAATCAGACATATATGATCTATGGGTTATTCTTAGTCAACTAGTCTCTAAAAGAGGTAAAACAGTCTCCAAGAAATGTTCTGTTTTAGGAGAGGGTCACAGCCCATCAGATACAGCATAAGGGAGGATAGCAACCAGTCAAGAGTCCATAGGAAAGATAACAAACAGCCAATAAGAGGGAGTTTAAGGTAGGGTCACTGTCAGTCCAATCAGTTATATCTAAGGAGTCGCACCAAGTGAAGTGTTACAGTTAATATGGAATTTGAAAACTCTAAGAGACTCTGAAGAGACTGCAGTACATCAGCTACTAATGCATGCTGGTAGTCACTTCCAACTAGAGCACTGTACACATGTGAGAGAAAAAATTAATGTTTTTAAAAAAGGGGATACAACTCTACTAACTCAACAGGGATTGGTCCAGCCAGCCATTCCATCTCCACATGATATGTATCTTCCTTGTAATAACGGACTACTTGACTCAACCAGTCTGACCACTTTATGTGTGTCTCATCCACAAGATCACCTGCAATGAACAACGTGCAATGTGACAAATAGAATCCTTGATAGATAATAACTTTTAGTGCACTTTTCCTGTATGGCTTACATGACTGTCTAATTACTAGTTTAGATAAAAAATTAAATTATGTACATGGTGTAGTAATTTCAGATAACAAAAATATTAAACTGAATGTCATGAATATATTTAAATGGATTTTTCTGACATTTTGCATATACTAGTAATCTTGTCTGATTGTACAGTAAATAATGACTTACCTTTGTAAGTACTTGATTTCTTTGTTGAGCTCACTGACAGTGCCTCAGATCCATTTGGCCTAAAGATGTAAGCTCCAGATGACCTGTTTACAAACTCTTTATTGTCCCCAATGTAGCCTTTGTAGTAGTAGAAATCCTGAGAGACAGAAAACTTAGTGCGATCCAGGACCATAGACTTCAATGAGCCAGTCTCCCAATCCAGCACAGCATTGAATTTCTGTTGACACAACAATGAACTGAATGACAACAAATGTTCATCTTGGAAAATGTCCTTTTATTCATTATCTCAAGAGGCAGATAGATAACAGGTTAGATCACAAGAAAAATATCCTGATAAAAAAGAAATGTCTTGATAAATGAAGCTTACCCAGACGTAATGCTTCGTAATTTATACAATTCAAAGAGAAACATTACTGATACTATAAATCCATAACTAACTAAATGACTCTGATGCAGATTCCTTCTTGAGAAGTTAGTAAAGACAGTCTCTGCCTTTTATGTGACCTGAAGGATCATTACCATGTTCAAAAGATCCTGCCATGCACAAGAAAATATTTCAATCTGGCCAGATTTTCATGACAATTTGAGTGATCCTTGGTGAAATATATCTAAATTTTGTCCACATGTGATCATATCCATACTTTAAAAAAAAAGTTTTTTGTATTAAATTTTTATGGATTCTTATGAAATTTAATATTTGGGCCTGATAACCCTTCTCACGCTATGTTTTTATAGGCTTCTCTAATGGCCTATTGTTGTTTCTTGGCTCTGCAACCCAGTTGTGGGTTTTTGCCGCCTCCTTTTCGAAGGTTTCTTGGCCTTTGAAGTGACCAGCCCACTGAGACTGCACAGTTTCTACTCAATCCTGATTTGACTGCCAGAGCCATCTAGCAGTTAATCAGGAGACTTGTGTGAGAAATGGCCTCTGAATTTTGCTTACAAAACATCTCCTTTATGCTCGTAAGGTTGTTTTACATGCCGTAAATCTATGACATGGGACCGCTGGTTTTACTTCCCCTCCAAAGGAAGTTGTGCTACGGATTTTTATCACCCCTAAAAATCCATTGACCTTCACCGGGTTTGGGTCCAGTGGCGAGCACGCTAACCACTAGTCCACTGAGGGTGACTCTAATGGCCTCTATTGTGTATTTTTTGTTACTTTAGGTTCTTTGTATTACTGTATTTTAAATGCATCTTATTTTTGTATGTATGACTGTAATTCTTATTAAGAAGACCTACAGACATCTTTTTCACTACCACTATCACTATATACACTATCACTGTTATAATTATTTTGGAAAGTTTGTCTTTCTGTATTCTGCTAGCAAGATTAATTACAGCTTCTTTATATTTTAAAATTCTGATTCTGTCTGTCTTTAATTCTTCCATAATGCCTTGTTTCTTATTACAGAATTGTAAAAGTATAATTTAGACCACATCTCACAAGTTTTTTAACATAACACTGCAGCAGTTTAACTCACCGTGTTACCAAGAATGACATCCCTCCCAGGATGAATCTTATACTTGCTGGTATGATGGATGTGATTGCTTCCGCTGATATAATAAGACCGGAACCCAAGTGGAGGGAGATCTTTGGCATAGAACACCAGCTCCATGGTTGCAGGACTCACTCGGCCTGGTATTTCTATGACAGGCTGTGGAATGGGCACCAGCTGAATCTTGAGTTGCTTCCCTGTTGGATCCTGGACTGTGTATGAGGCACCCGACACAGGAACACGCACATAATGTGAGACGCGGTGACTTAGTGGATTGTACACAGTCACTACAAACTGATTGGAGTAGTCCAAAATGTCACACTGACTGATGTTCAATAACAAGCATGATTTTATGGGGACAGCATCCACTCTGGAAACCTCAGACTGCTTCTTATTTGCAATAAGTTTGCTGGAAAAGAAGAGTACATATTAACTGACATCATACCAGTAAGACAGTACTGAACAAACGACAGGCAAAATTTTAAGAAACAGCAATTCCTCAGGGAGCTTTCTGCACAATAAGCTTACTGAGAAAGAACAGTGATAAATTAACATCATACCAGTAACCTATGGACAAGTTTAATTGTGTTCACTGTTTTGGCTCCCTGGAATTATTATTTATTGTATTGTATTTAATTCAGTACTATAATTTTTATTATAAAATGAGCTCTGTCTCATTTATTGTGTTGCATTAGGTGACTGCGCTACCCTATTCAATCCATGTCCCTGATACAGACCGTGTAGTAGCACAACTTTAAATCAACCGCAGTTGCTCAGTGAGCCTTGAGTGCAGTAAGCTTAATGAGAAAGGATGGTCCCAAATGTACTCAGAGGGGACAAAGGCTTTTATTATCTTCTCTCAGTCTCTGCATCCATGCTTCTGTAAGTCAAGACATGATAATAGTGCATTGCCAGTAGTACTCATGTGACATGCAGAAAACAGAAACAGCAACTAAACATGTTTATGCAAATCCAAAAATGACATAAAACACTCATTACAGCAGAAATTATGAAAAGTTCTACTGTTTAAACTACTATGCTTAATGTAATTAAACTGATGGTTTAAAAAAACTAGTTAAATTGGGCTTCTAATGTATTAAAACAAATACAATTTAAAAATACATCTTTTTTGCATGCATCATGGGCAGTAACAACAGGCATTTCCTTCTAACTTTAAATTTAAACTGAACGAACATTCAATTCACACACAGTTAAGAATTCTAACACTCTGTACATTATATGGCACTGAAATACTTCCAATATTTTTTTTTAAATTACGTTCTGAATGCTGGAAATAACATGTCTGTACTGTGGAGTACAGCCACATCATGCTACAGATATTCTCTTCAGGCCATCATCATCCCACCATCTGGGAGAAACATAATCATACTCTAAGGAGTAGAGTAATTCCTTTCTCCTGTCTATGAAGCAGAAAGTTTTCGTTTTGTAACAGCAATACTTCAGCTGGATTGTCCCATTTCCTATAGCTGTAATTTCAATACTTCATTCATCTTATACTCTACTGCAGGGGTTCTCAACCTTTTTCCGCTGGCATACCACTAATTCTAATTTAACACATTAAATGTACCACTAACCAAATGCGTTCAGGGAAAACTTATTTATGTTAATATTATATTTTGATTTTCTTACTTAGTTCCCATATCACAGGTTGATAAACACTGCTCTACTGCATGCCAGTGGTTTTGTGAAATGTAAACCTGTGCTCAGTATTTTCATACTTTGAGTAAACATATATCCAGAGTACTTTGTTTCTAACTTTGCAATAATATAAAAATATCTGGTTGCTCTCCTTCACTCTCTCCAGCAGAGGATCTTCATAATGACCTTAATACAAACACTAAAATCTAGACAATTAATTAGGAAGTCATTAGTACTTTTAACATCATCACTGACACAAATACTTTGTCCCTCGACACTGCAAATATTTGTTTATACCAAAGAGAAGTACAGATATATGATTATAAATAATACCCTCTTGTCAGGAAAATGTTCAGTGACATGTTAAAAGAAGAGTTCACTGTAGCCCTTTAGTGATGAAAACAATGAAAATGTACCAGTACAGGGCAAGTCTAAATGATGTTCCCGATTGGAAAGCCATGCTACTCACGTTTAATGAAATTCAGATGCACAAAATTGGTACCGATGGAAAGAGAAACTCTCCAAGTTTTGTTTCATTACATCACAGGTGTTCAATGTGAACCCCCTTGGTAACTCGGCACACATCCAGCCTGTAGCCGAGTTCCTCCCAGACACGTTGCAGCATATCATGATCGATTGCTGCAATGGCTGCTGTGATATGCGCTCGCAGATCAAGCAAAGTCTGTGGTAAGGGTGGCACGAATACTCTATCTTTGATGAACCCCCACAGAAAAAATCACAGGGTGTCGGGTCCGGTGAACGTGGAAATCCAGGACACAAAAGGCTCCCCTGTCTTCGATGGCAGCCATTTTCTCTCATATAGCCCCTGGCGGCGAACAGTGTTACTACGCGGCCGCGAAGTAAACCAACATAAACTTGGAGATTTTCTCTTTCCATCGGTACCAATTTTGTGCATCTGAATTTCATTAAACGTCAGTAACATGTGTTTCAAATCTGCAACATCATTTAGACTTACCCTGTATATTGCCTTAAGTGGTTAAGTTATACTATCTACAATTATTACAATTTTCTGAACTAGAAAGTAATTTAAAATGCCAGCAGGAGCCAACCTCCATTCCATAAAGAGATAAACTAGATATATTCATCGCCCTGATGACGGAGGCAGTATGACCTCTGAAACGTTGGTTAACATCGAGTAGACTACACAGCGCAACAACCCAGAAGACAGAAACCTTCTAGATATACACATTTGTGTTTGAAGTAATATTATCTCATTTTTGTATGTTAAAATTCTTTGATCATTTGCATTTCTCTTCCTGATGTTTTAGTAGTACTTACATGTGAGTTTAGCCTTTTGAAGCTTTGCTCATATAAATACTATTTAAGAATCCAGTCCACACCACAAAGAAAACAACACTTCACCATTACAGAGATCAAATGGTTTATGCTGTTTAATGAAATAATTACTGTCTGCAGTGAGAATCATACAAAACAGAAATACTGCAGAGCTACTGTCTGTTAAAGGAGTAGATGATCCTTTCACTGAAAAATGTTTATCTTGACAGAGAACATTTAAAGAAATAAGCATGAAATTACATTATGAGTGCCATCTTTCTTAATGTCAAAATTCCTTACTTGATGGCTGCCTGTGCAATGATGCCACATTCCTCAAAACCTTCAAACAAGACACGAGCATAATCAGATGCCACTTTCTGACGCTCAGTGCCTGTGACAGCATCATGATGTTGCATGATGCCCATTGCCTCTCGCATTTTGTTGAGGTCCACCGAATCTTCAGGTCCTAGATCTGTCAACGAGTACAGCTGCTTGCAAATCTGCCAATCAGATCAAATAAGACTTGTTACAATGAACGTGTACACTACACAAGGGTGAATGGGATTGAATGCGCAATATGAAGTGTCTTCTATATTAATGTCAACTTAATCTGGCGATACACCCACTTTTCACTTCACATGCTTAAGAAACTGAGTCATGGCAATATAACTACAATTAATGCAAAGGAAGGACTATTAATAAAATCTACCTAGTTTAAGATGTGTTTAATGTGCTGACAGTCAAGAATAATCATTACAGCCTTTCGACCCATTAACCCTTTAAAGTCGAAGTTCATCTAAATATTTAATAATTCAGCCCATACTGCAAAGAAAACACAACTTTCACCATTACAAAAATCAGCTTGTTAATGCTGTTACAGAAATTAATCCCTGTTTACACTCAGAGTCACATGAAACCCATAAATACAAAATTAAGAATTACTGAATGTTGAAGCAGGTGTCATATATACTATATTTACTTCAAAGGGTTGTCAGCCACATCCCTTCAAGTACACACCTCTATGTGACTTAACCCTTTGATGACACAGGACAGTTAAAATGAACCTCACTGTGAAGCCAGAGAATATTTAAATATTTAGGCTCCATAAATATAATACTTTGGAAAAACTGTTTAAAATCAAACAGAAAATATGACTGTCCAACATGGCTCTGCAGGTAGCAGAATTTCATACCTCATAATATTACAGGAAGCCCTGAGATGGCAGCACAAGACTAATAATAAGCTGTTGCTTGATGAGGTGAAATGTAGCTCTTTTAGACCCAAAAAATTAGATTTACTGTCAGGCACAGAGCTCCATTCATACACCGAGCAGTAATGCTTTGTTTTGACTACAACACTGTCTCTAAAAAAATGCTACAAACAACAGATGCAGAGTAGAGCTGGTAAACTTTCTTCACTCATGACCACTACATATATAATCATAGAGCAAAAAAGTCTGAAATAAGCACATATATTTATATAAATATATACTAGGAACAAAAGCAAAGCCTTTCAAGAAAGATACATCATTACATTACATCAAAACAATACCAAATTTCATTTTGGTGTCTATTGCTTCACCATAACCACTATTTTATACAGAGCTCAAATTAAATGGCTAACCATACAAAAATTGACAGCATGAGAGAAACAACAAGACCTCATTAAGACCCACCATTTTCAATGCACTGAATAAAATAAATGGAAAAGTTATGAAAGCATCTATGCAGATCATTACTGTTACTAGCCTTTGCTAGCAACAAAATTAATGGCTGTATTCAGTGTAATATCTAAAATGTTGATTAGCTTTGTTAGCAATATATCTGTATCAGCAATTAATTAACATCAAGACCAAAGAAAGAAGGGGTAAAACTTGCAAAACTGAAAAATATATTTGTATCACATATTTAAGTGCACATATTTATTCTCTCGTTCATCGTTGTTACACTCGTTAGACACTGTTCTCTCCTCCAAATTCTATAGGTTGCACTCCGGAGAGATGGCTCTACAGCCAAAGAAACTTGTCTTAACACCGTCAGGAAATTACATTATGATATGTCCTCCAAGTAAACGTGGCGTACCTGTAGGAAGTTGTTGCCCACTCTTTCGAAGCGTTTAAGTGTTGGCCGTGATGTGTAGAACCCTGTCCAGTATGTGTGAGGATCACTTGCATAAGGGAAAAAATCATCTTGCTTGGTTGTCCAGGTTTGGCCAACGTCATGAACTGCCTTGACATAGCATGATGGTGTTGAGTAAAACACATTCACAGTGCTGTTATTTGACTGCTGAGCATTTACATACCTGCCAACATAAATAAATCTATTCAATACTATAAATTATATTACCCAGTTAAACACAGTTATCATAGTGCCTAAATTTTTAAAGAGCAAAACAATCTGTTCTACATGGATAATACAGAGCTTCTGCACACATTTAATAACACATAATTTCAATCTGTATTATCACACATTTGATAAAATATGACATTTTAAAACATATTTTCTGTCCACAATATGACTGGAATAGTTGTCTGACTTGAAAGATTTACAATGAGAATTACTAGCAAACTATTATTCTTCTCATGCTGATCCACTCCTATTTTACATGAAGCTGAAATCCATGTAGTGAATTTCAAGACCAGAGTAATCTGCACACTGAAACTGAATGTCAAAATTTCTCAAAAATTACTAATCATGGGTACGTGGCATAAATTATACAACTGACTGTAGGCTATACATTTTATTCAAAACACATTTCTATGTGGTTCATGATGTGAATAAAAAGGTTTATACATGGCAAACCTGGAGATGTCACCAGAATCAATGACAAAATGTTCCCTTATACAGCAAGTAAATTGTTCCAATTCTAATTAACAACATGGATTAGAGTCCTTCCTGAGAAGCTAATTGGAAACTCAGCTATTCAAGACGTATCCTGTTGTTTATGGAACCCGAAGGCTCATTATCATGTTCACAAGAGCCTGCCACCAGTCCCTATCTTAAGCCTGATGAATCGTAGAAACAAGATCCTCCAACACTATTTCCCTAAAATAATTATTTTAAATTCACTTTAGAAAATTAGGCAATACAATTTACTACATTCTGCTGCAGTACCAATCAACTTTTATGACTGGTTACACAGATCACTGACCGTAAAAGCAGTCCTGAACATTTACATGGTCCTAGTATACAAAGCGACTTTACTGTGATAACTGAAATTTTGGTAAACTTCTACCAGACAACAACCCAGAAGACAGCCATCTTTGGACTCACCGCCATGAAAACCTCAAATCCTAATGTTCTTGGGTTACAACCCAGAAGTTCAAGAACCAAAAACTGTAGCAACTAAACCAACATTTTTGTTCAGTTACTCTCTCTAATGATGAACTCCACTTTCCACAAACTAACTCTGCACTGTCAGAACCAGCAGCTTCACTAAAACAAAATGTTACCACATTATTCAATTCTGCGCTAGCTGAATTCAATCCACAAGAAGCACGGTGGTCACAAATTCTTATTGAGCATCTTATCCTCATTTAATACTCTGCATATTCAATGAAAACTTACATGAAATTATATGCACTGTTGCATCTCTTTACTGAAAGTGCAACACTTCTCATTCCCTGGTAATAGCCCCACAAATGAGCTGAAGAGGATGCAGAGACACCAACTCCGAAGCACAAACTTTGTACTTCAATAGTCATAAATCTACAGTATTAGGGTTACAGACGAGGATACCTTCTTACCGAATGAGTTTGTCCAAGTTTTTGAACCACATATTGGCATCCTGGTAAAAGAAATCTTCACCCATGGTCATAATGATGTTGTTTGTCGAGTAATTTCCAGCCTGCTTTTCTGCATAAGCTATGAATTTCTGCACCTGCAGATGGCAAGTAACAGGTATAGGACATAAACATGCAAGAGGTCATGCTTACACTACTGGTACTCAAGAGTAAAGTAAGTGCTTCCCTGTTCATCACCTAACTTACACAGCGTAACCTCAACAGAATGAGTACGGCTTATGAAAAATGTCCAATGATGGACACTAGCTCCTTCTAAGGATTTTCACATAGTAGGAACTCCTTATTCCTCTTATTTTACGTGATAACAAAGATATCCAGCCCCTGAAACGTTCTGTTATTTGAAACAACAGACGATGGATAACGTCCAAAATTTTTGCTCAAACTATAAGGTATAACTGCCCAAGGGGTCTGAGGCGTGGGCCTTGTGCTGCTTGGTCGCTGGGACCGTGGGTTCGAATCCCACTCAAGCCATGGATGTTTGTCCGCGTTTTTCTGTGTTGTGCTGTCCTGTGTACAGGTAGAGGCCTTGCGACAGGCCGATCCCTTGTACAAGGAGTTCTACCAAAATGTCTATAGATCAAGCCAACGATAAAAAAAAGTTGGGACCTGCAGTGCTCAGGCACTTTAACGGGTCGTTCCCAGTATCCAGTATAACTGCCCAAGCTCTTCACTATCTATAAAGGGCATAAAGTATTTCAAGGAAAGTAAGCATATGAAGTTTCTGTCACAAATTCTTTTCACTTTCAAAAATTGTCCCCACATATTAGGGACATTATGTGTGACTGGACATATAGCTTAGTCTGAAGAAACAAGAAATGCATGCAGAAGTTTCCACAGAACTCAATGGAATGTGAAGAAGGAAACGACAAAATCAAATTAAAACTGACGTTGTAAGAATATTAAGTTGATTAAACTGTCTCAGGTTTATATCCAGTACCAGGCTTTGATATTAGCCATTTTATTTCTATAGAAAGATCAAATTACATCAGTCTAACCCCAAAGAAACATTTCAGGTAGAAGTACTCCCCAACATACATTACTCCGAGCAGCAGTATTGTAGCAATGAACCAGTAAAATGTCACAAGTGTTTACCTGATAAGTTTATCCAAATTCTTATACCACATGTGTGCTTCCTGGTAAGTGAAATCTCCACCCATTGTCAGCAAGATATTGTTCGTTGAGTAGAATATTGCCTGTGTCTCGACATAGTCTACAAATCTCGATACCTGAAGCATTATAGTGCACTGGTTCAACAACTTCATTTCACTCACACAATAAAATATATATGTGTACATGTGTATAATGTGTGTAATATATGATATATATGAAATTCTGTATTTGCAAATACCTTATTTGTTTGACAATTTTCTGCTGGATGATAAAAGTAAGACTTACCAGTGTGTCCACATTGTAGTCTGGACTGTGTTTATCATCAATGAATGGCTCATCATCACACAGGACATCAAAACAAAATCCAGGAGGTGGAGCGTAATTGTTGTACAGGACACTTGTAAACAACTGTGCAGCTTTACCTGAAAGTAAGTGAAAACAACTTTTGTGTTACTAGAAGATATGAAATCTAAAACTAATACTAGATTTCTGTGTGATTGTTTAAAGTTTACTTAACATTTCTACAACTGCACATGCATCAAAAGACAGGATGATAATAAATGATGAACTGGGAAGAACACGGAAGTGGTCATGACCTAGCTTAAGATTGTCTCAATATTTATGTGGAGGAAAAGAAGGAAAACAAAAAAGTCTGTCATGATAGCCGATGTCAGAGCCAAGATCTAAACCCAGGACTTCCAAAATAAGAAGGAGTGCACGAGTGCATACCACTACAGTGAACCATTAAATTATAAGGGTCCTAATAAGGCCCCACTCAATAGTGTACATGTATAATTTATTTATTTAATTACATCAATTTATATCTTAAATAGAGTAAATGACTTTAAAATCTTCATTTATTTAAATACACATAGCATGGAATTAAACAGTGGAAGGCCTTACCCAAATTTTCGCTCCCTTGCCAGACCATTTCTGCAGTCTTTGTTAGAAAGCGGGCCATTTTGTCTTGATAATCCAAGCGACCAAGAAATAGGCCATCAAAACCCATTCTGGCAAAGATGGAAGCCATTTCACGGGAATGACCAAATGGATCAATCTGCCAACCAATGTGTGGCTGTCCACATTTCCCAAAAGTATCATTCAGTTTCCTGTAACACAAATAAAAGTATTTCTTAAACACAGATGCATTCAAATGACTCAAATAAATTTAACCTTTTTTCTGCATGTAAATAACATATGATTACTACTGTCAGACTAAAACATCACATTTATTTGTCTTGCAATGTTTTGTAACATCCGCACATTATGTCTGCCAAGGTAAATAGTTTGAACAAGAAGCTTCAGGAAGTAGATATGTCCACTTTCCATGAAACACATCTTTGTGGAGTGTCTTTCAGAAATTACACGTGACAGCATTAACCTAAAGATGCTGTTATTTATCCTGTTCAGCAACAGGAAAAAGTGTGGCTGGCAGTACTCACCTGAAACCCCAAGTGAGTTGATCAATTATGGATTGGTAATTAGTGACAGCTTCATCATTCATGCTCCAGCCCCCACTAATGAACTCAAGCTGACCATTGTTGACCAATTTCTTGACTTGGTGGCGGATAGTGTCATGCTGATTCATCCACCATTTCCACCAGAATGCTGTCTCCACATAAATGAACCTGACATCAAAAAGTTATTGCTCTCTAACAAGAGAATTTTCCATGTTTATCCCTTTCAGACCCAACTATAATCTCTCAATGGATAATAAAAGCTGCATGAGACTGCGATAACACAAAGAATCTGCTGGTATGTAACTCTGTGAACAATAACAGTATTACATAATTCTGACGGGGAAGATGGCACTGGAAATAGTATAATAAAAATTAATAAATTGTGGTATGAGTGAGTGTGCATCAATTATATTACAGCAGATGGAAAGTGACAAAATTATAAGTAAAATTAAGGATGTTACTGTGAACAAAACTGTGATATGTAGCAAACACAAATGTAACTCTCTTAGAATGGATACAGGCTTCTTAACATGTAGCTATATGAATGCAGCTCAGACAGAATGCTGTGCTGATTAGCTACTAAGCAATGGGCACAATTTACTGAATACGCTGAGAAAATGTGTTTGATTAAACTGACACTTCATTAATATATGTACCATGTGAACACTGTGGTGCATTAGCATTTAAAGCTGTAAAAGTCTGAACTGTTCACGTTTACTGTTAATTTCCCTTGATCTTCCATCCCTAAACCCCCAAAATAAGGGGAAAGGTACAAGGAAAAGGAAACAGAGGGTAAAAAAAATTGACAGTGGAACCACGGTTCCCTAGTTAACATTGAATAACGTTTAACTGTGGAAGTATATTTGTACTGAAATAAAATTTACACATTAATGTATACCTTTACATCTTATCTATACGTGACGTCATCCGCCGACAGCTTATCTATGTGTTGTACTCGACACACTCACTCTAGAACCATTCTTTGTTACCAAATAAATAGCCAAAATTCTTAAACCGTAAGAGTTAGATGAAATCTGTTTGCAAATTTGAAAAGCTCCTATTTATTTACGTATTTCACTCGCAATATGTCCCGATCTAACTCTTACGCTTTAGACGTGGCAAGCGGTTGAGTTAAGGAACGAGGGTATAGTTATTACATGTTTTTGGTAATTATTTCAACAATTTATAGAATAAAGTAAACATCATGTAGAAAAAGCCCTTTATTTACTCTTTAATTTACATATAGGTTTATATTCTCTATCTTACATAGGTCTCGAGTTGGCGTTTGAAGAAGTTACACACCAGCGTTACCTTACATCTTACAGTTTCCGTCGAGTATACCATGATTTTATAAACGTTATTCAACGTTAAAAGAGGGAAGGATATGAAGAGGAGGGTGGGAGACCCTGGCAAGGTTGATCTGCAGGAGTTGTGAGTCACTCACTCATTGCCCTAGTGATAGAATCAGCAAGGACCTCTGAAACGTCAGTAAACTTCTACCCGACTACATGGTGCTACAACCCAGGAGACAGCTACCTTCATACTCACCACAATGAGTACCTCAAATCCTACTTGTAAGAAATGTATCACATTAAAACAAACTGGTATAACTTGAAACCTTGCATACTGTGCAGTGTATTGATATATAAAATCATGCATACAAACAAAACTGTTTACACATTAAATAATACTTTGTGTCAAACGTGTTTCGACCTCAACAGGTCATCATCAGTGGCAAAAACATTATTTCCCATGCAGCATTGAAGTTCACAATCCAGGCACAGGCTACGCAACCTCGGCTCATGGCAGACCAACAAATGAAACCTCAAGTAAAACCTGGGCCAGTGGACATTAAGCTGAGTAACTTAATTTAGATAATACACCAGTTCATTTACAATTAAACGTTCAGTGTGGTATTACATGAAATGTAGTTTTATAAAGCACGACATTTTACAGTGCTTTATAACAAACAATCATTTCATGAATTGTATGATTTTAATCATCAGACTAATGAATTAATGTTTTTGTCAGAAATTTCTGCCATGAAGATCAGATAACATCAACACACCCAATTTGAATGTTCAATGCAACTGACTGGTTGTCCTTTTTGAATAGGGAAAACTTTGATCTCTTTTAATAATGATAAAACAAAACTCAGGCAACTTTGTCTTTGTGAAGCCAATAGTAATACAAAATGTCATTATATTCTCTTTCATCACATTGAATTTAATCAAGGAACACCTGTAAATGTCTTTGGTTTAGCACATGTGGAGTTAAAAAATCCAGTACACTGACTACACCAACCATAATTTATTTAAATACTATAACTTTGCTAAAGAAACATGCCCCTACCTTTTCTCTGGGTCATGATGAAGTTCTGTCAGCACTGAATCTATTATGTACTGCACTCCAGCCTTCTGAATGCTGGATTTACCTACAAGAAACATATCCATATTACTACATTTTCACACATGATTAATTATAAACACATTTCACTTCATTAAATAAGTAATAAAATTCTCAATTGCAAGGTTCTATGGCTACGAGGCTATAACGAGTACCCTGACACATAACAATAAGTGAATATACAAAATCTTCCTTTTCTTTATAAAATAAGGATATTCGGCTAAAGGAAATCCCAAGATTGGAACAAAAATTAACACTTTAATTCAAATTATTTGCAACAATTTTTATTATTCATGTTAACATCTGGTTGCTGCACTTCAGAATTATTGTTACAGAAGTTCATAAAAGAACATTAACTGATTCAAATGCACTCATTATAAATAATATGAATACTGTATCAATTCTGATGTGAGATTCTGGTTAAACATATTTTGTCAGTAAACTCTTAAGTTATGCCATGACCCTTGGTCCCCAAAAAACATCCCTGAATTTATAAATACTACAACTTACTGCCATAATAATACTGATCCACAGTCTTGAGCCAGCCAACATCATTATGAGTATGGGGCACCAAATGTACATTCAGCTTACCAGGTTTTGCCTTGGTGCAAGACTGCAACAAACCAATAAACTCATTATTGATTCAACTGATTATATTACAGCAAAGTTTAAATAGCATAATTGTTCTGGTTATTTAGCAATGAATTTGCTAAGGTAGAATGATCATATATTATGTATGGAAGTTGCATTGTGTCACAGTGCAGAAGACCAAAACTGCCAACAGCCAGGAGAACTTCAAATCTCAAATGTGGAAAAGCTGAAGGACACAGCAGTCATGGCCTATTTCTAAGAACTATCCTGGAAACTTCATAAAAAAACTGGGAAAAACCATAAAACTCCTGCTATAACAAGCTGTCTACAAGCAGACACTAGCAAGGGAAGTCCATTCACCTCAGCCAATGCCAGTACCATAAGCCTTCAAGTTCTCAGAAACAATACTCCAACAAAGAAACTCATTACATACGATGTGGACAAAATGGAATTACCAAATTCTTATCAAACTGGGTTTAAGTTTGCCTTTTAATTTATTTACCGTGAACCCATTAATCTTTACTAAGGAGGATCATGTGAGCATTGTACAAGGGCCAGGAAACAGCCTTGACAGGGACTTTAATTATCAAATTGAAAAAGATTTGGACAGCATTGCCAAGAACATCGTACATAATGTCAGTTTTGGTGGTCTTCTCAAGCAACACGACACGCCTCATATGAGCAAGTGGGTAAGGAGAGAAAATTTAAGACTTGAGTGTGTGCTCTGGAATGCAAACAGATCCCATATTGGATTAACTGATGTATCATCTATAGAGAGATTTGACCAAACCATAAATGGACTGCGCCTTAATTCAAGCGGTAAGGAGAAGCTAGTGAAACTTATTCTTAGTGAGATTAGATGCAAACCAGATTTTGGTAAGATTCCTGTAATCATTGGTCTAAGAAGTATGCCTTTCTCAGGTTAAAGCCCAGATCTAAAATTAAATAATTAAAAGCTATCCAAATCACTGTGAATAAGCCAATCCTAAATTTAGAATACAATCAAAATAACATTTTTGTAGTACAACACAAACTGTTAGAAGTCTGTCCAACAACAATGATAAATTATCAGTGTCAGTTAATAATGCATGTTCACCCCATATTCTGTGTCTAACTGAACATCATATGAAAGCACCAGAGATCTTACAGGTTAATCTAAACAATTATACTCTAGGAGCTAGTTAGAGCAGACCAAAACTTTCAAAAGGAAAACTATCTTTGTCAAAAAGGACTCAAAATTCAATCAGGTACATATAATGCATCATTACAATGAACAGTGCATAGAATGTTGTGTCATGCAACTATAATTTCTCCAACATGTATGTCCTAGCACCCAAAGGTGATTCTGAACTACTTTAAACATTTATTTTAAAAGTATCATAAATTATCTCTACAAATCTAAAGCAGAATTTGTTGTCTGCAGTGGCAAATATTAATTATCTTATTGAAAGTTACCACAAACAATGTCTAAACTCTCTATTTACAACATTTAATCTCATATCAATAGTAAATTTCCCCACAAAAATTCAAATTTACTCCACTAATGACTCTGATGTTTTTATAAACAGTTCCAAGAAAGATAATATTTTTATTGAATCAGTGGTTAATGGGCTATCTGATCATGATGCTCTACTTCTACATAAAAAATATAAAATAAACTTCCAGCAGTCATAATTATAGGAAACAAACTATATTTATAAATAATGACACTATTAAATATTTTACAACACACAAAAGTAATGAAAACTGGGAATCAGTATTAAGTAACCAAGTTGTCGATACAAAATTTAATGCATTCCTAAAATCTTCTTAAGAACTTAAGAAACAAATATTCCAACCAAAACAGAAAGAAGGGTGTTCGATAATAATGAATAGATAACCAAGGACATCAAAACATCTTGTAAACATAAACAAAACCTTTACAAAATATCTGATCTAGCAGCAACATAACAATGAAAATTCACTACATGAAATATTGCAAAATATTAACTCGGGCCATTAAAGAGATCAAATGTGTGTATTACAACAAACAGATATTGGAGTCTGACAATAAAGTAAAAACAGTCTTCAAAATTGTGAAAAAAGGAAAGAGGTAAATATTTACAGAAGACGAGACCTCATCAATAAGGATTAATGATAATGTAATAAAGTCCTAAACTCATAGCAAACTCTTATTACGAACTTCTTAAAAATCATAGAACAACAAACAATCACCAGAAACTTGACAAAATGCAACAAAGTATCCAGCTGAAGCTACTCTGAAAGCCTTCTCAAATATAAATCTTTTACCCAATTTAAATTAAAAATAAAATAAATTCTCTCAAGTCAAAACATTCATGTAGTTATGATGGAATACAAACAAAGTTACCCTAAAGCTGCAATAACTACAAGTGCTCCTTTAAGTTTTCTGTACAATCAGTCAATGGCAACAGGAGCTTTCCCAGAATGACTTCAACATTAAAAAGTGAGGCCTCTGTATAAAAAAAGGAAAAAACTTGAATATCCAGGTAGGGATCAATTTTGTTACTAACAGCATTCTCTAAAATATTTGAGAAAGTCATGTATAAGAGAGAAAGTGATTTCTTGAACTGAAACATCTTTTTAGATGAATTTATAAAAAAATCTCTCAACATTCAATTATACAAACGACATCTTATAACAAATTGCATGTTGGCAGAATATCTTGTGTTCTTACCAAAGAACATGATTGTGTAATGAATGGAATTCAAGATATAGGATGACAGTGGTTTAAATCATGCCTTTACGACAGGAAATAGTAAGTAGAAATATGAACCGAAGTGCCTCTTCAGAAAACAACCAAACAGGGGAGGTTCTACTTCTATCTGTCATTGCTTCCCACAGTGATCCCCCCTCATGGACAATGAACATAATTTACCACACAATCTTACAATAAAAAATAAATAAAGCTGAGAGATAGGATAGTTAATTACTCCTGGTGAAGCCAACCACTCCTCCAGTACACAAAACTCAGCAAAATACAATTCAACAAAGAAGTAGCTACCTCTAAATCTTGGAAGAACACTCCAGTATACAACCAGCCCAACTCCTCTTCCACCGCGGTTTGAGCTAGAGGGACCACTGTACTAGCGAGAATAGTACTAGATATTCCCTCCCTCCAACCTGTGCCAGCACAACACAAAGACAGATACTGCACTACCCTCCTAGTTCAGCCAGCCCTCACCCAGGCCCAAGGTCGCTCCCATTACTTCTCAGCACTCCAGGGCTGACAGGTTGGTTCAAATAAAATAATCAGATTCATACCATAGCACCTACTCAAACTAGGGTGTTATAAAACATGGGGTTCTTCAAGGTTCAATACTTGGCCCTCTACTTTTCCTCATATATGTCAATGATCTGTCTGCAACCATCAACTCTCAGTCTAAACCTATTTGCTGATGATACTAGTATTATTTCACATCTAGAAATTAACAAATTTTGAAATTACATGAATGATATCTTTGCTAGCTTGATCAAATGGTTTAAAGCCAATAACCTCACATTAAATTTTGACAAAACAAACTCCACGAAATTTTGTAGTAACAACAAAACTTGTGTTAATCTGAACATAGGGTATAAAATAAAACAACTGAAGAAGTTGAAACAAATCATTTCTTGGCATACAAACTGACAATACCATAAACTGGAAAACATATTGAATGAATTGCCCTTAAAATAAATTCATAATGTTTTGCTATGCGAACATAAGTGTCAGTAATGAAAATACACAGTTTAAAATTAGTTTACTTTACTTACATCCATTCCATTATGTCATATGGAATTATTTTTTGGGAAGCTAAACAGACACCGAAAAAGTATTTTATATTCAAAACAAAGTCATTAGAATAATTGTAGGAATTACAAAGAGTCTCTTGTAGGGAATTATTTAAGAAGATTAATATTCTCCAACTAGCCTGTGACTTCGTATTTTCAGTATTATCATTTGCTGTGGGCAGACATAACCTTCATGTGTCAAACGCTAACCTCTGCAAATATCAAAAAGAATTTTCTATGCTGGAAATAATTTATTCAATCATCTTCCTCCTACCACAAACAGTTTAAATCATGACATAATTGTGTTTAAGCCAGCATGAAAAAAGCATCTCTTATTTTATTCCTACACAGTAAAAGTATTTACTTTTGGATAATTCTCAGTTTTATAAATACGTTTTTATGGTGATAATTCCTTGATGTAAATACTTTACTGTAATACATATCAGATATGTCTGTAAATAGCTGTTAAAGCTTTGTATTTAATCTATTGTATTGTATATTTGTATTATGACATATTCTATATCCTTGGTTTAGTTACGCCTATGAAGGATCTATGGAATGTAAATAAATTTAATTCTATTCATTCTAATCGACATCGTTGCGCAGACGGCCGCGTAAAGATCGCATTCCACTTGCTGGGACAAAAGCAATGTCAGCTGTCATTTCTTTAGAAGCCTATCTTGTTGCCAGGTATGTGTCTGCATAACTCGACCAGGAAACGGCCCAGCCTAGCAGGTCAGACGGCTGCGCTGTTCTTGCAATAATTGCATCGACTATTCCTACCGCATCTTTCCTCGATCGAATGTCAACCTTTTCCGCTGTCTTGTGGACTGCGGTCGTTGCACCTACATACATGTAAATCATCGACACTAAGTGTACCTACAAATTTTCATGCCTACATTAACCCCAGGTGACTTTTTTACACGTGAAGTAGTTGCGTGCAACAAATACAAAACACGTGTTTTATTTCAATAACGCAAAACCTTGCTTACGATCACAGGTTCAAAGCATCGGAGTTCATGATGTGCACACCCATCCCTTTCATGTGAACGTCATGCAGATCGAGCAACTGGCCAATACGGTAATGCCCTCCCTTAATTTATACTTTTCAAACAGGGTCGAAGTTCCCGACCGCTTTGTTCAGTGGTCCATAATCCAAGTATTAAAAATAAATTTAAAAAACTGCACAGAGCAAGTACTTTCTGAGAAATTAACAGAAGCTGAGCTGTTGAATCTCCGTCTTTCATATAAGTATCGTGCCGGGGTAGCTCAGTCAATAAAGTGACTGGCTACGGACTAGACGAACGGGTATCGATCCCGACGGGGGCAGAGAATTTTTCCTCTAGCCTCTGCGTCCAGATATCCAATGGTACGCTCCCCACTCACCCCCATCTAGTTCCGAGGTTAAGAATAAGTCGGAGATATCTTCCTCACAAGCGCCTACATGGCGAAAAGTGGGACACTTCATAGACACTGTACATAAAACCAATTTCTTAACGCGACGCTCAGAGACTGTTAGACGATTTATTTCATGTGATGACAGTTTGCACATACAACAGTGTCGAGTTTTGTGATGCGTGATTAGCCCCACGGAACATCAAAAGAGGAAACAATCGACAGCCAAGACCAGAAAGGTGAAAACTACATAACTGAAGTTCGGATAGATCGAAGGAACAGCACATGCATTGAATCGCTATTATAATGTTAGTTTATTTAATTCTTCTAGTCATAGAACAACATGGCAACATCTCTCATCCGTCACACGGCGTTTACTTTTACGTTCTGATTAACGCTGCAAGTTCGTATTTAAAACGGTTCTTGCAATTGCTTATCGACGTCGGAGACTGGAAACCGTGACAGTTTCGCATTAGGAGGCTACCTTGATCGGGCGCTTTCATATTTGTTTCCCTCCATACGAATGATACAGGAGCTGAAGATTTCTGTCTTCTGGGTTATTGCGCTGTGTAGTCTGGTCGATGTTAACCAACGTTTCAGAGGTCATACTGCCTCCGTCATCGCCCTGATGACGGAGGCAGTATGACCTCTGAAACGTTGGTTAACATCGACCAGACTACACAGCGCAATAACCCAGAAGACAGAAATCTTCATATTCACCGCTGTGAGAACCTCAAGTCTTAGATACAGGAGCTGATTACTAAATTATAATTATTTTCCAACCATATACAGTGGATTCCGGTTAATAGGGCCAGCCGTTTATTTGGGACGAATCTAAAAAAAAACAATAAAAAATCGAGAAAATAACCGGAATTTGCTTCGCTTATTTGTGACACCATGCCGTTTAATCGGGACAGTGACTGCTAGATGGCGCGCGCGTGGCGTGGAGGAGTCGTTGTTTCACTCACTTGCGTATTCAGACTAGTGATGAGTTAAACTGCTCTTCTGTGAAAACAGGTTTGACTGTTATTGCTCACTCTCAATCACAGTGATCTTACGCAGTGAAACAGTGATCGAGATGCGAGCATGCATTTAGCATTCTGTCACGGCTGTGATTTAACATTGACTGTGGTGGTACACAGTAATGCTACTGCGAATATGACTGGCTGTCTGTTGCTGCTCTGTTTACGTGTGATTACAGTACAGCTGATGTTATGAGTACTAAAATTACAGAAATTAACATGTCGAAAATTCAGAATGTGTAAGTTGTATTTGAAATAATGGTTATTTAAAAAGTAAAATAAAATTACTTTATTACAAGAATATTGTATTTTAAACTAATATTCTTTTCAAAATATAACATTTCCTATACAATATTGTATGTTGCAAGCAATCAGCCATTTTGAAAACTGAACACAAGGTAAATACATTAGCACTGTATAATAATATTATTTAAAGATAGCAGTACCAGTAGGCCTATAGCAATTTGTATAGTCAAATGCATTATTATTATGCTCCATGTATGATGATATGGACAATATAATTTATTTAATATACATTATAAAACAGAATCAAGTTTTAAATGAAACAAAATGTATAGAAATCGTTTATTTAATATTAACAGACAGTAGAACTGAGCTGTCAAAATACTGTAGTGTCCCGTTTTCTCACTAGGATGCGCTAGGATGTATAAGAAATTACTGAGAATCACTGTGATCTGACTCTAAACTGCTCTGAGCAGTCAAAATAGATTACCGTGTTCTCGCTAGGATGCATAAAGGTGGCGACTGACTTGTAACATTTGCCTGTAATGTAACGTGTTACAAATCGAGCATTACACAAGTGAAGACAGCGAACGGAGCCATTAAATGAAACAAAGATAACACAACCTCCACGTCCGACATATTGAACGAAATGAATCGAGCACACACGAGCACAGTCAAGCCGAGCGTTCAAAACGAGCATTCGATGCGCCTCACCAGTTGTGGTGTAATGTAACATGCTCGCCGCGAATGTTACATTACGAGTAATTGTTACAAGTCAGTCGCCACCTTAAGAAATTAAGAATCACTGTGATCACTGTTTAGTGAGCACTTTAACCACTGCAGTGATCGTGATTTTCTGATCACAGTGACAAAATCACAGGTCATTGTTTATCGCTCATCACTAATTCAGACTACGTAAGAGATTTTGCTTGCAGCAATTGTGATCACTATGTGGGCTGACTCACTCAGTAACGAACGATGTTTTAAGTGGATTTGAATGGAAAGTTTACCACGCTAACAATAATGCGTGGATGACTTCTGAAATTTTTAATAAATGGCTAATGAGTTGGGACGTGGAATTACAACGGAAGTCAAGAAAAGTTTTGCTGCTTCTTGACAACTGTGCGACACACCCTCATTTAGACTGTTTGAAAAACATCCATCTGGAATTTCTGCCTCTCAACAGCACATCCTTGTTGCAGCCAATGGACATGGGAATTATAAAAAAATGGAAGACCATATATCGTGGAAAGTTGGTAAACCACATCCTTGAAGCAATTGAAGAAAATGTACTGACACCATCTTCAACAGCCAAGGAAGTCAGGAACTATTGCTTGTAAAAGATTTACAAGCAATAGTTTGTCGCCAATAGTTGACGAGCAATAAGCAGCAAGACCACTCCAAACTGCTTTGCTCACTGTGGTTTTAAGCTTTCAGGCTTGGAGATACCAGATACGACCGACAGTGAAAATGACATTTAGGAAGTACAACACAAAGAGTTTGCATGCATCGACAATAGTCTTCATTGTTACAATTAAAAGATTATGAGGACGCAATTGTTGAACAAATTGCACCAAAAGACATCAGAAGACCAGGAAAGTGATGAGGACGACACACCTGAGCTTGAGCGAATAACTAACCAGAAATTTGTTGCTGGATTACGACGCTACTTCATGCAAGAAGGCAATGAAGGTAGTCCTATCTCTACACTAGATAAATGCGCTGATTTTGTTCAGTTGCAGTCAATCAAGAGAACACGGCAGGGTACACTCGATAAATTCCTCCAACATCATTAACTGTTAGAAACTACATACATACATTAAATGTAACTTGTTTTTAGCGTAAATATTTTTCTCTGATCTGTACCATTTGTTCCAGAATTCATTTACAGTATTTTTGTTGTTCAATAAATGGGAGTTTGTCTGTGTAACTTCGCATAATTGGGGCAGCCGCTTAATTAGGCCAAAGTGTTCTAGTCCCGATAAACCGGAATCCACTGTATATAAAATTGACGTTATTCCCTCAATCTGTAATTATGCATGCAAACACTTGTACAGCATGTGATAGGGGGTGACCAATCCCGACATTTCGCTGTTCATAATCATCTTCATATTCATCCTTTATTTATACTATCTCAAGCATAAGCCAATGCGATGTAAAACAGCACCCACTGTGCGTTATGTATAATTTCCCAGACTTTCATGTCCAGAATCTGATCACGCTCCTGTAAAAAAACTTATTCTAACTAACCTCATATCCACAGTTTGAGTCTTCATGTTTTGATGGCGGTTTTGCGGTGGGCGGTGTTGTAATAAGTATGTTATCTGTGACTGGGGTGGTGAAGCCATTATGCACCACGAAGCACCATACTGCCATGAAAATAAGCGTCTGACACAACCATCCCATATTTAACAGTGACCGCAACCATTCGCCAACACAAATGACCGACTAACACGTACTGAACAGTAGTCTCGCTTGGCCCATCCCTGGACAGCCAAGCCAACTAGTCTCTGTTAGCAAGAATTGGCAACCCTGCGCACATGCAGCAGCATCATCATAAGGTCGAAGTACACGATGTCAAACATCCCTCTCGCATCATTACTGACAGGCAAGACGTTAGTACAAATGTAATTTGTGGTCATATATTTCGTACAGATTTCGTTTAAATAGCGATTTTCGTAATTTGTTAACCCACAATTACCACCTACGAGGAGAAAATTCAAATTCACACGCTGTAAACAAATTGAACTACCTACATAAGCTTATTGGTCGAGATGTTTCAATATCGATCAAAGAATATCAGGGAGAACTTCTGAGTTACACTCATTTCCTATAGTGTTATGTACTGCAGGAAGTTACAGTAAGCACATGTAGCCCACATCGAAAACACGAAAAGGAACTAATAATTTCAGCAGAGAAAACTCTCTGTAGGTGATTGCTCAGAAAATGGAGAGGCATGGCTGGAAGATGGGTACCTTCTGGGTTGTAGAGCCATATAGTATGGTAGAAGTTTACGGGGTCTTCGCTGTCCCCAATCATCGTCCTAATGATGGAGGCAGTAACGACCTCTGAAACGTTGGCAAATTTCTACCAGATTACACGGCACTACAACCCACCACCATGAGAACCTCAAACACTACTTTGAAATATAGCAAGATGAAAGCTTTCGTCTAGCCGCCATTAGTAAGAATAAACTTCGATCTGCAAAGGAAAAACGTATGGAGTCATATCAGTTCCTCAGTCAGAAATTTTTGAACAAAAAATGTAAAAGACTGATGTTTGCACTCTTCATTTTTAAAGCAAAAACTTTCCCATCTTGGTGACAGTGGCCACTCTTGTACAGTTCATCGTATTACACATCTTAAAGAGCAAAGAATAAATATAAACAAAGATTAGATACGCCATGAACCTTGGCCTTTGACTTGTTTCCTGGAAGTCTGTAACAAAATTTTCTTTTCTTCATGCTGTATCAGTATCCTTCCCATGTTCTTAGTTACTCTTCTGTTGTTTTCCATGGCTATGCTCAGTGGAAAGTCCCCATCTCTCAGGAGCTAGAAAGATGAATCTTTTCACTGACAATGTGAAGAAAGCATTGTTCATTATTTTAAATATATCAGTGGTGTACAGCCCGTGGAAACAAAGTATCCTCACTTTGAATATTTTTGACAGTACAAAGTACTTGAGCACAATATTTAACATATAAGTATGTCATGGTTCAAGTATGCAAACAAATTTGTCATATCCTGACTTGAAAACATATTAGTAAAAAATATTATCTTTTATAAAATTTTCCAGTTTCCTAAGCAACTTTTAGTAACGTCCATAAACACATACTTGTTAAACCAATTTAATAATTTGCATCAACTGCTCTCCCATTTACTAGCAACTTAATGGGAGTGTTCATCCCAAATTAAAGTTAATATTCCCACATGAGCATTCAGATTTATAAAATGTGCTACTTTGATAGCTACAAATATATATAAACACCTTCATAATTAAAAGAAAAAAAGCATACATATATCCTACGTCTCCTAAATCCAATGAATCCCAATAAACATAGATCACCTGTTCATAAAATTAACTCCCTAGATACCTCAAAATGTGCAAGGAGGAGCATGTGAAGTGAGACTTCCAGGATGAAGATAGGCTACTGACCACTCACCTTGCTTCATTTCAAAATTTCCTCCACAGATGGCATAGTAAATGTACATGATCTAAAAGACTACAATTTTTTTTGCAGTATATAATTAAATATGATTCTTATTCTTCATCTAGATACTTACTGGCTTGTTCTGTATCTTTTATCTGTGACATGTTTCCTAATTAAATCTTTGCATGCAAAATTAGTTTGGAACACATAACCCAATTCTTTGCACAGAAATAGCATGTATATCAGAGCTAAGGGGTCAGAATTATAGATGGTGTCTCTTTATGGCATGAGAGCAAGGCTATACAATCTTGATGATTCATCCTGCAGAGTAGTCTTGTCACAGCTACAGATGTCACCTTGCAGCATTCAATTAGCATATGCAAAAACAATTTTGTCTCAAGACTTTAATCAGAATTATAAAGTCACTGTATCTCCACATGTTGGGTGTCCCTAAGGGGATGCTGGACCCTATCATTTGGTTACTTTGCTGGCAAATCAATGTAAAGCCATTAACATAGCTGTTAAAGCCTTGAGACAACTGAAAGACATTACTAACGAACGGAAGCAAAAATAGCTGAATTAACATAAACTTCAATTCAGCATAGACTAGATCAGGAACTGGAATTGAAATTATTACCCCTTTGAAGCTTAAGTTGGTCTAAATATTTACAAATTCAGCCTAAGCCACAAAGAGAACAAAATGTCTTCATTAACAAAGACCAATTTATTTACCCTGAGAATCATACATACATAACCCATACTTACACTCTGGTGGTAAAATGTAAAGTTACTTAATATTAAAGTAGGAGGTACATATAGTTACCACTGGGTTTTAAAAGATTATTAAACAATTCTGATATCCTCAAAGCTAGAAGAGTGTACAAAAAGAATTGCATATTTTGTGATGACCATGCAGGGCCCTGAGTGGCTGCCCCATTCAGCCTGCCCTGCTCATATTATTGGTTTTAGATCACAAATATAAGTAGGTCAGTCATTACAATGCACTGATTCTCTTGTGTTTCTGTGACATAACAGCCTTCCTATGAAGACTGCAACAAGTAACATGACATATAATTTTAATAAGTTTTAAATAATGATAAACTGTTAGTATTGTATTTATTGCACAGCTTTCTTCTTTTAATACCAAGTCATTTGTATTTATATTTTTATTTTTTGGCTTGTGTCTGTAAACAATGTAACTTATATTAATATTTTTATCAACAGTCAATTTAGAGGTAAGAAAGCTGTTGGTTATAAAATTTCCAGTCTATATAATCCCTGAATAAAATATCTCCAAACTTCAAAGACCACTAAAATGGAAACACAAGGGCCAGCATATGTTTAATACTTGATTACTTTCCTCCCTACATTCCTGAAAATCTGCTACATGGCTCTGGCAGTCAAATCAGGATTGAGTAGAAATTGTGTAATCAGTGGGCTGGTCACTCACTACTCATAAATGCACGCTTCAAGACCAAGAAACCTCCGAAAGGGAGGCGGCGAAAACCCACAACCGGGTTGTAGAGCCAAGAAACAACAACATCCCTGAAAATATTCCCACTCACTGTGCTAATCTTAACATATGGGCAAAGTAAAATACTTTCCACATTATAAACACAGAACTCTTGCCAAGAAGTGCTGGTGCATCCTTTCCAAAACACTTATAAATGTTATGCTTCACATGTCCTTATTATCATCATAATTCCTAAGTGCCCCCTGTAGTTGTATTTAAATACCGTATGACAATCAAGAGCTCAAACATGATGACTTTCCTGTTTGCTTCACATGTTAGTATTAATAAAATATTTTCTTTTTTAGAGGCACAATACAAAATGAATTTAAGCTGTAAGGGTTAACAGAGATGACAGCTAAGATTGTTACAAAAAGTCTGATATAATTCAATGGCATTAGCAAAGACCACCACAAATTAAAAATGTATACATGATTAATGGAAATGCAATGTAAAGTTAAAGCTGGGACAAGCTCATTACTAATATTTCAAAATCTGTATCAGTACTAACTTCATCTTTACTACTGTCCAGTTTGGGAGCTGGCAAGGTAGTTGTAATGGGTGACCTTGAGTATTCAATAGTAACAATGTAAAATCAACTTTAGCTTGAGTTCTACAGCAGAGACGGTCATTTTGACATACCAACACTTGGTCACAATTGTTTTGAATGAGTAGTTGTGGCAGGTGGGTGAGTAAAACTGCCTTGCTATCTCTCTCTTTCTGAACAGTGTAACTTCATACCATCAAATATTACATAACATCTCAAAATGAAGGATATAAGAGAAATTTGTTAATTTCAATGAAATAAAACAAATATCTATATAAACAGTGGAAATTCGGTGGAAAGTTACAATGGCCAAAATATAAAAAAATTAAATCTTCAGTAAGCTGACCACGGGGCATTGCAAGCCACTGCAGGACGGAGTAGACAACACACTTCTACCATTCTCAATGTCACTTTCTTTGTTGGTGATGAAAAATATGTTATATTAATAAACTGCCTGTGAAAAAGACAGTAAAACCTATAGTAAATACACATACAGTTATAAATATTATCCAGTAAGGCCGAAAACCCCTTAAAAGCAAATGATCAGCAACCAACAAACATACAAATAGAAGACTTAAGGCTTAAAATCCCATAAAAGTATTACAATGGAAAGTTACAACACATACATTCATTAACATTATCCCAGTCCAAAACCCCTTAACAGCAAATGATTACCAATCACCAAGATAAATACATTTACTTACTATACAGACAGACGGTTGCACACAACCAATATTCCCTATACTTTCACCATTAGGACATCTTTTTACATATATATATATATATATATATATATATATATGCATTTTGTAATAGCAATGTTCAAGACCAGTAGCAGGTCTGTGATTTAAATTATGAAGTTGTGGGAGGGTGGCAGCCCCCCCACAGGTATCCCTACTTTGGCATAGTGATGGGGCTTGTGTGGTCATATGATCCTGAGAACTATGCCAGTGGCAGTGTAGCTACTGGTAGCGCCTCCCATGCTGGCGAGGTCAAAGGTGGTGACTCAGACAAAAGGGAACACCCTTGTCCTCCATAAAAAATTAAAAGATTTTAATGATTGCAGCCAGTTGGAAACACTGAAGACAACCTAGCAAAATTAAGGATTTACGAGTGGGAACCTGGAATGTGTTGTCTTCATATAGAAGTGGTGCACTTAGGAGTTTAACTGAAGCTACTCAAGAATATAAGATTGATCTGTTAACTATACAAGAAGTCAGATGGCTAGGGAAAAGCATACTGGAAAAGAATTGTATGACGTATTACAGTTGTCATGATAAATTACGTTTTGGAATGGGCTTCATTGTTAGTAAACATCTAAGAACATGGATTATTTATTTTAAGACTATAGATATTTTCAGATACAGTCAGGCAGATTATTGAAAAAAAAACCCACTGGAATGTGGAATCAGCACATTCAACATTTTCATAGATTTCAAAGCCACTTATGACACCATAAATAGGGAGAAATTACTTGAGGCTATGAAGGAGTTTAAAATACCCCAGAAGTTAATTGGACTGGTAAGAGCAACTTTGAAAAATGTAAAATGTAGAGTTAAGATGCAAAATAATTTATCAGAACCATTTGGAGTATCACTGGGTTTAAAGCTGGGAGATGCCTTGTCATGTATTCTATTTAACTTAGGGTTAGAGAAGGTGGTCAGAGATTCAGGGATAGAAACTGAAGAAACTATATATAATAAAACAATTCAGACACTTGAATATGCAGACAATATTGTTTTAGTGAGGATAATCAAAGGTGTGCCAAAAGAAGCAATTATAAACCTCAGTATAGCAGCGAAGGAAATGGGACTTACAATCAACATGCAAGAAACTAGATAGACGGAAATATCAAAAAGGTACCAACAAATTCAAGAATGCTTAAAGTGGATGACCAGGAATTTGAAACGGTGAGAGAATTCAAATATCTTGGATCTGCTGTAACAGAAGATAAAATCATTACTAATGAAATAAAAGAGAGAACTGTAATGGCAAATAGAGCTAGTTACGGCCTAAAGAAACAATGAAGCTAACAATATTTAGGGAGACAGACAAAATGTACCCTATATAAAACATCTGTAAGGCCTGTACTTACCTCACAAGGAAAAATGAAAAATTGCTCCAAATCTTTGAAAGAAGGATATTAAGAAAAATTTATGGCCCAATTAAGGAAAAATGGTAAATGAAGATCAAGGTTTAACCACAAACTTCATAAATTACACAGTGAATCAGATATAATGAAAGTGATTAAAGTAGAAAGGTTGAGGTGACTGGGACAACTTTTTAGAGTGCAGGGGCAGAACCCTTGCAGGAAGTTAACTCTACTGTTTGCAACTGTAATCTTGAGACTTGCAAGGAAGGAATGCAGGAAGTCTGAAGCATACTACTATACTGCATAGCAGATGATATCTTTCCTCCTTCACCCCACAAGTCTCAAGATTACAGTCGCGAAAAGTACATAAACCAGAGGGTATTTGATGAGTGGGCAGTCCTGTTTATCAGGTGTCTGGATTCAGTTCAAGATCTGAAGGCAATGGGTGTTGGAAATTGGAGACTAAAAGTCACAGGATTGGGACCAATGGAGGGCAATCATGAAAGAGACCAAGGTTTACCATGGACTATAGTGTCCGTAGAAGAAGAAGAGAGTTGTAGTACTATTTCGAAGATTATGATAACATACACAACAGTTTTTTATATGGATTTGCAGATCAATCATACTGATCTCTTCATCACCAAATATCACTTTAGAATAGAATATGTTTGGGACAACATAATACAATTCATGTTGTCCCAAACATTTCAGAGGGGTTTTGAATTTGTAAAATTCCCCTTTAATACTGCAACACTAACTTAGCTTTCTTCCTGTAAATTTCTTTAAACATGAATAACTGTTACGACAGCATTTGGCGTAGTTAGTAATATTCCTCCTTCCGTATAACATACAGTGTGTGAAGATGACTGTCTCCTGGGATGTTGTGCCACGTAGTCTGGCAGAAGTTTACCAATTTTTCCGAGGTACTTGCTGCCAACACCATCAGCATGATGAGTCTTCTGTGATGTTGCACCTCTAAAATGTTCATAAATTTCTACCAGACTAATAGGCACAACATTACAGAAGACAGTCATCTTCATAATCATTACCATGAGAACCTGAAATCTCGCGAATACACAGTGTTTTTTTGCCACAAAACTGTTTCATTATTAACAAGAAAGGGCTTAACAATTTACATCCCTGTCATAAATAAACACTGTCACTTCTAAGATTTAAGGCTTTCAAAGTGCGACAATGTGGACTGTGGTCTTCTAGACTGTATTGTTATGTACTCTTGTCAGTGATTATCATCAGGGCTGTGTTGTCGGTACTAAAACCTCCGACTCCTTCATATACGCTCAATATGTATTAATATTGGTAAAGCTACTAAAATAGTAAATGGTACCATAAGAGATTTCATCAACACCACGTGAATCATCAGGCTACTTTTTGGACTTATAACCTTATATTTAAGTATATAAGAACAATGGTTATTGCGGAAATCGGTTGATTTGTAGACAGTTTGTATTCTTAAGGTACCAGAGCCAAAGTTACAAAGCATTATTCCCACACCATGAGGCTCAACGCACCATTGAATCTCCTTAAGTGTGAGGCTTGGCTGCTCATGTTAGCAAAAATGTTCTTAAGATTTTATATCGACGTCAGAGTCGGTACATTTTTACCGACTCCAACTCCACCTAAAATTGCTTCCGACTCCAAAGCCCTAGTTATCTTTTCAGATGAAGTTAGGAACGACCAACAAGACTACACAATGATAACCCAAAACACTCAGAGCCTCATCAAGTGGTCACAGTGATGTACGTCACTAAATTGTTGGAGCAGTGTATTGCTGTCACCAAAGAATAACAGACTCTAGTAGGTACCTCCTACCTTGTCATACACCACGGTCTTGTGTTTGGATAATGTAATGTGTGTGCTATAGAATCATCTCCTCAAGAACTTCATGTTCTCTGTTTAACATGTCTCACCATATACATTCTATATTCCCGTAACATATAGGAGTATCATCCTCTTCTTTTTTGCTGCATGAAAAATAGCGAGATTATGATTGGAGTCGAGACAGGAAATTGGGAACACTAGACAATATTTATAAATAAGGCCTACTTCCAGAGTTAGACAAAAAATTCACAAATAAGGTACAAGTTATAACACTAAATAATTATTGGAGCTCATTCCCTGGGGTGAGAGTCTGTAAATAACCATTCACTTCCAACTAACACAAACCTTAAAGAAAAGGAGCTCCAATTTGATTAACCGTTCATTCATGAAATGATATGGCATACTTTCAAACTGTACAGAACATGAAATGAGAAATTGTCAGTAAAATGTACTCAACACAAAAATATTAATAATTCAATTCAATTCAAATGGCTGGTCTTAGAATAACAATATTATTTTTTTGTGACATCAGAAAACAAATGTAAAATAAAACTGCAATGTTGACAGAAGTATCTTCAACACGGCAGCTTCAAACAGCAGGCAGGAAGAAATTTAAGGAAGATTGGTCAAAGGAACTTTTTGCTTACATTTAATTACAACATGGATATAACAAGTTGTGATGAAAATTCTAAGATAGTATATTTTGTTGTAACATTTAATGGACCATCAGTGATAGAATTTTCAAAGGCTGTAGACAGTTGGTACTTTGGTTTCAAAACTACAAGATGTGCACGAGATGAAGAAGCTAAATTAGAAATAGTAAAAGCAAGTACAGGCAACTCAGTTGTTGTTTCACATCCCAGTGTTATTTTATGTGGCAAATGTGCAAGAGTTTCTTCTTATTGCTTATAGGGACATTAAAAGGTAATTTATTCCATTCATTGGTGGCATAATATATTACTTTCCTTAGTTATTAAAATATAAAACCCTGGTATCAAAAAATTATATACCTTCTAAATTTTTGAGCTGGCTTCTGCATAAAAGAAAAATATTGTATGTCCTATGGTAAATAATTAACTCTGGAAGCATTCCAAGAACAGAGTTCAGCACATAAACTAGACTTAAAGTAAACATCAAGCTAACATATAATAATTTGCATAAGCCACTTTAATACTGTCCTTTCACAAATTACACTGCAATTTATTCACTTCAAATTTTAATTGAGTGTATGTAACCTATTAAAACACCTTACTACAGCAAAGAACAGTTCTGAAGCTTTATGACAATTTGAAATAAATTCAGTAACTATTATTTATAAGAAATAAATATGAGAACTAAATCAAAATGCAGGATGTCTCTTAAAAGAATACATAATATCTGATAAGAAATCAAAACATTCAATCAAATTACACAACTCATTTTAATTTATAATGAAACAATAAATAAATCTTGAAATAAAATATAAGTAATTTAACACAATATGACTACAAACCCAAAGAAATAATGTTGTTATACAGCAAAGGTGTTTCAAAATATGCTGCAACTGCAAATCTGCTAGTGATGATGTACTACTGTCTGCTATCGAGAAGGTTTACTCGTTTCATATCTACACAAGCTGCAAAAGCTTCTACTTCCTTGGAACATTTTAACACTTCCCTAGGATTTTTCTGATAACATTCTTTTACATACTGTCCAGCAATCGTACAAGGTGGTTGCTCACGCTTAGCTGGCAAACGCGAGAACAATTCCTCAACCTCATCTACAGCTTTCCTGTATTCTTCTTCCATTTTCCTACTGATCAACATATGGTTGTCCTCCAACGTCTTCAACCTTCTCTCCCAGTACTGGTCGTTTTCTTGTAGTGCCGCTTCTTTATCCTGTCGAATTTCAAGAGAAGTTTTAGGGACACCCCTTCTATAATATGAATGTGGATATGAAGAGGTTACCTTTTGGGCATCAGACTGGGTTTGGCTTACTGGGCGAGATTCTGACTGACTCCTCGGAACTTCTGTTCCGCCTTTTAGTCGTTGTACAACAGAATCTGAAACTTTAATAACGCTAGATGGGTCGTCATTCGGAATTGATATTCTTCTCGTATTAGTACTCTGCGAACTTCCCATACTTCTTTCACCAGGACACGTAAATTCAGTCACACACAACCTACACCTATCTCCACCATTAACGATGATTGTGTCACCTACCGATATTTTCAGAAATGACGTAAATGGCCGTTGATAATACTCAACATGTAATGAAGAAGAACAGCGCACTTCTGCACTATAGGTAATCAATGATAATCTAAAGATCTCTTCTGCGTTGTACAGCCGCATAAAATTTCAAACTAGATGGCGTAGCATCACTACAATGGGATGTTTCATGACGAAACGGGTGGAGTTGGGCAACGTTGCGTGCATTGCGAAGACAAAATACTGGACACATTGTGAAGTGATCAGCTTAAAGGCAGAACTCAGCAACGGAAGTAGTCATCGACTAATAATCGCTCAGTCAAATTAGAAACGTCCCGTCTTCTGTTATGGAATCTGAAGTTTTTTAAGGTTGTTACAATCAGGGCCGTACTCTAACAAAACTCGTGATCACTTGTCGAAACAGCTGCATAATTCAACTCATTTTTTCGGATGCTCCATCAATTGAACATACAACACGGAAAATAAACAAGAAAAAATATTACATATGGCAATAATAAGCAAATTATGAGAAAAGAAAAATTACATAAATAATTGCATAAAATTTATTCAAAAACTGTCAGTTCCAATTTCTATTTTAGATTGCTGTTAGAGAGCTAGCTGTGAAATTTCACCAACATCTGGATCAGAGAAGTAAAGATAGTAGGTTATTAAAAAATGAGAAAGTAGTATGGAAAACCACAATTTCTGGACCACAAATTTTCATGAAAACTGAAGTGGCTACATAGGTTTATGTAAAAGTTTCCAATATAAAACTCTGAAAATTCATACAGCAGGAGCCAAGATGTTACATATAGACAGAAGTTTAACATACTTATTTCTCACACAGGTTGTTGCGGGAAAATGCCCTGTATTTATAAAAATATGAGGCAAATGCTATATGATGGATGTGAGCTGTTGCCCTATCATTCTATGAGAATAACATGAACCAAAAATATATTTAAAAAGAATGTAATGTTATTACAATATTCAAACACAGATTTTTATGTCCTTATTGAAAATTAACCTGGTAGATATGCTTTTGAGCAGCTCTTGCATGGAGCTACTGTATAAATACATTCTCAATATTTAAGAATACCAGGTGATTAAAAAATTGACAGATTAACAAATGATATATATGGGACAGATTCAGAATTCAGAATCTGTTGGTGCTATCCTTTGTTTATTTGTCAAATTGATGTATAATGGTCTACTGAGGGTTTACTGTATATATGAACCTAAAGACAAGAATCTTCAAAGACTCATGCTGCCATACGAACAAGTAAAGAAATAAAAGAATATTTCTGGTTATGTTGCACTTCAAGAACAGCATTAAATGTCCAGGAAATATGGCACATTTATTTGAAAACACTAGTTGTCATGTGTTAAACTCTATTTTATTGTTTGTAACATTGTCAATTTGATATAACTAGTTTTGAACACCATGCTCATACATATACATACATATCATGATAATGATACTACAGGGTGGGTAGGAAGTAAGTAGGCATTGAGAAATGGTTATAACCTCTATATTTCCAATGCAAATATATTATTTAATGCCTACTTACTTCCCATCCACAATCTAAGCAATAATATACAACTTACTTTATCTTTTTGAAATAAATACAAACATCTACTTTCCTTCAGTCTGCATGACGAAATATGTGCACCTATTCAGGTACTATCTTTGACTATATGGTTAAATCAGAGATTGTATAGTATTTCATTTTCCAGTTATTAAATAAATAAAACAACTGAAGACCATAAATATCTGCTGAAACCATGCAGGTATGAAGGACACACTAAATTGTTATTACTGATAAAATTTGATTATATTCACAAAAACTAATAAAGAAAAACTTTTTGCCAAGGGTATGCCTAATGTCAAGATATCTTACAAATTATAGGGTTAAGCCATTACAGAATGTTCACTCTGTACACATGAAGTATACATAACAGCAGTTGACAATCTTCATTTATGAAGACTGATCTGAAATGACCTGCATTTCAAAATATGTCCTGTCATGTATTTTACATCTATTCTGCAGTACCAACATGCGTGTTTGCAATAACTGAACATATTGTTGAGAGAGTAACAAAATAATTTATACTGCTTTATAAAAATAATGCTGAGTTTATGGTTTTTATATCAGCAGTAGCATAAAACTGTTCAACAAAATTTCACATTCATTTCTCAGTGAACATCAACAGTTGCATCTATTAACATTATAATCCTGTGTGAAGTGATACCTGAATTTTTGATAATGTGGTCTAAATAAATTCCATAAATGCATCCAATTAAGATCTATCCATCTTGTTGCATTTTGGCCTATGATGTAAAGGAATCCAATCCTAAAATGAAAGTGCCAATGAGGCACATTCTACTCCTATCAGTAGGATCATGGAGGAATGGCCCAATTCAGTGTGAACTCCAAACTATAACAAAGGTTTGGTGTTCAATACTGGGTCCAGGCAGTATGAAAATTCAGGTGTTTGGAAAGACAGGTTTGTGCCTTATCGATATATCACCAATAGGTTAAGATTAGATAGATTTTACTTCATTATAAAAACACTTGTGAAGAAGTTATTTGAAACACTGCTCCAAAGTATACTGTAGTTATAGAACAGCCAAATCAGTTCTAAATCTGAACTGGCTGGCTTTAATACTGAGTACAGAGCAAGTGATTTTGCATTAATCTCTTAGGTTACACACACACATGCTCACACCTTTGGTAATATCTTTTGTTAAGAAATTAAAATAATTCGCTGTTAAAATACATTGCAATGTATGAAAAATGAGAATGAAATTTCATCTACAAAACAAAGTTTCTACATTCATCCTCAATTTAATTAAAATAGACTACAATTGACATAAAAGAGGGGTCTTTTATTTATGGTGGAATTACATACATAAATTAAATTAAATACCCTTAAATATCTCTAATTTGTGATTTGAGTACAAACTTCAATATTGTAACTCGAGTATTGTAACATGCAATAGTCAACAAAATTACAGAAATGGTCTTATCATCTTTACAGAAAATAAATTAGGGCTGTGCTGGAAGACAAGCACGACTTCATTTCAGACAAAATGGTTCTCAAGCCAATTTTCAACCAAGTACAAGTTTCAAAAAATATTATTCCTTTTTGTATGAAAAGAAATATTCATAAACTTCCTATGGTTCATCAATTTTATATTCTGCAATAAACTTATATTCACAACTGAACTCTTTAAAGGGTCAAACTCATCTAAATAATACGCATAATTTTGATTCCTACATCGAAGAAGCCACACTGCATCTCCATTATAAAGATCACTCAGTTAAAGATGTTTATGCAAAACAAACACTATTTATACACAGGTCCTTACAAAACTCAAACAATGTGGGGAAAAATGGAGAGTCCTAGAATTTTAAAGCATGACATACAGTCTGCATTGTGCTGTAAAAAGTGTGATACAATACACATTCTTAATTTCAAAAGTAGGATTTGAGGTTTTCAGGGCGGTGAGTCCGAACATGACTTGTCTTCTGGGCTGTAGCACTGTGCTGTCTTGTAGAAGTTTACCAACATTTCAGAGGTCCTTGCTGCCTCCACCATCAGGGCAATGGAGGCAACAAGGACCTCTGAAATGTTTGTAAACTTCTAGAAGACTAAATGGCACTATGACGCAGAAGACAGCAATTTATACTTAAAAGAAACTGAATGTTTCATAAAATTGTAAACTGTATTCCAATATATCAAATGTTCACCTAAAAATGTTTAAGATACATACAATTGTATGTTGCTAACATCTTAGACATGTTAATGTAAAAATGTTGCTCACCTATGGCTGTGAGTTTTCAACCACATGTCTGTTATGGACAAATGGATGACTTCCAACACTGAGAACTTGAGAATTCACCAAGAGAAAGTAATGATTTAAAAAAATATTTTAGGTAAAAAATTGTAGTATTTAAATCTTTCCACTCTTACGTCCATATTATGTGGATATTTTGGATGCATAATACCAGCTCCTAGGTTGTTTCTTCAGACAATGTGTCATTTTTAAGCCAATGATCATCATATGTGAAATATACCCATGACATACAGTGCACAAAATCCAGAAAAATGCTGAAGTCCACATAACTTTGTAGAAAGAATGTATGAACCTTACTTTTGGAGTACTGTCTTCTCTTTCTTTCATTACAAGAGTATTTATATGTACCACAAGCTGAACATAGATTATATGAAGATCAAAATATTATTGCTCCTGACACGTGACATTCCTACTTTACCTTCAATATCTATACAACATAAATGAAAACTTATTTGTGAAGAAATTTAATCATGCAGCAGTCTGAAGGAGGAAATAATAGTTGACCACAATAGACATTACTCAGCTTCAGGCTTACCAACCATTCACTCAATTCTCAATCAAGAACGTAGCATTCATACTATTTAAGTGATACTTTGGTTAATCTATATCCTATCAGATGATACATTGTTAATCCTTCTTGACTTCATCTGACTTTAAGACATAATCTCTAAAGAGACTATAGCCAATACCAGCTGATAGACAGGCCACAACAGTTCCCTGTGCTGCAACTCGGAGCTGCATGAGAAACACGGACGTCGACATGGTGCCTCGATGTTTAAACTTATATGCACCATACAAACATGCCAGTGTAAGGCCTGCAAGTCCTGTGGGAGAACAAAAACAGCTATGCATGTCCTTTGTCAGTTTTTTGGGAGGAAAGTATATAACTTGCATAAAAATCCAGCATACTTCTTTTCTCACCATTTTTCCTCGAGGTCATTGTGAACACACAAAAAGCTCTATTAATTAACAAATAAAAACAGCTTTGGTGTAGAAATCAGTTTACATGAACAAAGTTACAACCATTATATCAGAAACAGGTAACTGTGAGCTAATTGAGAGCAGTGTGGCTTGCACAGTTAGAGACTGGTGTGCGTGTTTGTTGGGGTGGGGGTGGATTTGGATGCCGTCAATAAAATTGGGGTCTAAAATTGAGGTTTTGAGTTAATACAATTTTGGAAGTGCTTTATTCCTGTCTTCAGGTAACCTCGTTAACACATTTGTTAACGAGGACCATCAAGTACAATGTGATACAAAATAAATCATCACAAATAATAAAACAAGATCACTAGGAGAGATATGATGTTCTAATTGCAGTGAACATGACAATGTTGTTATGCACTGTGATGCCATGTGGACTCAGCCATGAAGAATGTTTCTCTAAATCACTGATATCTGCCTACAAGTCTACACAGGATTACGAGCCAGAAGAACAACACTGGCAAGAGTCAGTATTTATCACAACATAACAGACCATTAGCTGATCAAGCCTAAACATGAGTTCCATTTGGATCTGTGTTACAAAATATGAAGTAACTGCATGAGTAATGTTAGTAGAATAAAAGCAACAATCAACAAAAGTCTTAAAATAATAAAAAATCCAAATTTATGAGTTAATACAATGACCAACATTCAAAGTTGGTACCTCCAAAATAAAAGTCAGCCACATTATTGCTCAAGCAAATTTGCAGTTTATGTTCTGGAAACCTAAAGAAACAACCAGAATGACATACTGATTACATTATCCAACCCTTGTCCTTAGGTTTTATAAATGGAGTTCAAACTGTAATTTTGACTTTAGGGTTTGAGCCACATAAAATCTTGTAAATTAACCAATGTTTTGGCAAACATTGCAGTAGCCATTTTCAGGGGGGAATTGGTAATACTTGGGAATTTTATCTACCCCTTGACATAAACGCACACCCTTCTTCAATGCCCTTCCTTTCTGCACCATTTACCTTGACAGATTATAGCTTACTGCATTTATAATACTGACAGTTCCCTTCCCAATTCCTCTACATAATACACTAATGCTAAGTCCCCAATTATAACACCATGTTGTGTGGGGATGATTTCACTCTCATGTTTTCCATCTTCCCAAAACATTTCAGCTTTAAATGGGTCATTATTCTTATACCAGTATCATGGTTAAATATTATCAGTGCTCAATGCGTACAAGATAACATTAACAATGGATATGAAATCCCTGCATCAGAAACTTTTCTGGACTGAGAACAGGAATGATGCTGTTGCTACATTGGTTCGGTATGCTGTACTTACTGGCTGCAAATGTTTGATTAAATGCCAGAGCCAAGACAGGAGCCTGAACTTGCAACATAGCAAGGTTATGAGCAAAGAAATCATAAATGCTGGCTAGGTAATGTTCTCCTGATGATTGTGATGGTGGAAATATTTAACAAGGCAGAATCATTTTTTAGACTGGTTATTTTTAAATTTTTACATTATGTAGAGAAACAACAATTAATAAATCTACTGTGTTTTATTACTGTTGGATTTTATCCATCATCAAAGTGTTCTTTAATTAAACTACATTTTGAAAGTTGGTTCTACTTTTATCTTCAGGTGGGAACACAAAACCCTACTCTGTTGGGTCTCCTGATCAAGAGTCTCAACCTTAGACCTTGGTCAAAGACTAACTTGACCAGGGGCCAAACTCAGTAGGGTTTTATCCTTCAACCTGAAGGAGGAAGTAGAACCAACTTCCAAAATACTGTAGTTTAAAAAAAAATTTGAATGACGGATAAAGTCCAAAAGAGTATATATGTTGTGTCACACCTTCATCAGAAAGCCTTAAACAAATCCACTGTTCTAACATTTACAATATGCAACAACCTATTTATTACAAAGTACAGTTTGAAGTCATTCACATATACATACCAATTGGCATAAATGGGGCTTCCTTTGCCTTTCTCGCTAACCGTGAAGACTGAGTTTCATCTGAAAAAGTTTGAAGTGCTGCTGATTCTGTAACCATCTTGCTCAAGTCTTCAAACTAAGAGCTGAAATAAAAACAACCATCAAAAGAGCTAAACCAAGCTAAACTGCAATTCTATTACAAATCACATATTATTTACCTCTTTATGCATTTTTAATTATTTCTTTGAAAAATCTAAAGAGAATAATCATAAGAATTAGCAACTTTTGTGGTACCATTATACCAACAAGTAAGGTTCCTAAATAGCATTTCCAGAAGAACAGTTTTGTATTAAACAAATCCAAAATGGGGCACAAAGGAACAACCATTTTTCACATTTCACTGTAAAATTCAAATCCAAATTCTATGAATATCATTATAATAAATATCTGAATAAACTAAGCAAAACCATACAACTTTAGTCTTGACAGCCAGTCACAAGCTAGAAGCATCCCAAACATAATTAGTACAATGAAAACTATACAATTTCAAGTTTCCATTTTTAAATATTGTCTGTGTCAATGAGCTGGGATTCTGTCTGCTGCCACATCCACATTTGCTGTGGGACCAATTAAGCTTCATATGAAATGGGTACCCCAGCTAACCACTCATATCCATCAACTGTAGGGATTGGAATGCACGGCGCTTCATGTCTCCTATATGTTTTCATGGCATGATGGTTTGGCAATTTCACCTTCTACCTGCATGCCTACTTCCAAACAAATTAAAGTAAACAGATTCTAAATCATATTCCTGACCCTCTAAACAAATTCCTATATTTTCTTCAGAATTGATTCATGATACATATTTTAGTACTTAAAGTAATCACATAAAGATTTGATTGTTCACCACGCAATCCACTGTCTTTTATTCCCATAATGAATTGAAAGCAGAAATTTTTATATTGCAAAATAATTTATGAATTGGTTCATACATTAAGCAATAGCCTGATTTCTTTTCTTGTATTCGAATTCCCTTCGGGCACAACAATATAATGTACGGTACATAACTTCATTTAGAATTGTCAAATAAAATGCAGTTAGAGTTCTCTTGCCGCAAAATAAAAAAAACTTTAAAATTAGTTCACTTTGCTTACTTCCATTCAATGCCACACAGAATTATTTTCTGGGAAACTAAACAGACACCAAAAAAGTATTTAAAATTAAAAATAAAATAGTTATAATAATGGTAGGCACTAAAAAGAGAGAGCCATGTAGGGAACTGTTTAAGAAATTTAATATTCTTCTACTAGCCAGCGAATTCTTGCTTTCATTATCATCATTTGTAGTAGACAGCACAGAAAAATTTCAAACAAACTCATATATCCACAATATATGTACAAGATACAGATATAACCTTCAACTGCCAAACACTAACCTTAGTAAATATTAAAAAGGAGTTTACTACACTGAATCAAGCTATTCAATTATCTCCTCCTCCCCTCCCCTATATGTCTGAATAACGACATAAATTTGTATTAGAAAAAGTATTGTATGTGTGCTATTATGTTCTACATCCTTCGCTTAAGCATTTGAAGGTTCTGTGGAATGTCAATAAATTCTACTCTTTTAAAATATCTACAGCTGGACTTACTATTTGGTCAAGGATGCAACAGTTACGTAACGTCCTCGAGAAAAAATACGATGTATCATTTACGTGTGTAACATGCTGTGAACAGGTAACTTACAAGACAAAGATGTGACACATAAAATGGAAAATCAGTGTGATGAATTCGAATAAATAAACCTTAAAATTTCTGCCGCCCTTCTCTAATTCAACCAAAAGAAGGAAGAATGACGTAATACTGGCCCAGGTATGCTATGTATAGGGTGACGTCACAACCATGCGACAGTAATAAATATTTGATGAGAAACTATTACCGGAATTTTTCCTCAATCTTCCCTTTTCGTACAGCTTTATTCTCTTCCAGTATCAGAATCAGTAAGAAGTCAAACTTGCACAACATACAAACAGCACACAGAGATACTAAGCACAGATGAGCCAAACATTTCTCTTCGCGATACTTATATAGGTTTAGAAAACGTGCGTGTCCCACCAGTTACGTCATATTTTACCAGAGGGAACAGCTGATTATGTACATGTTTAAATAAATTGGTTATAAATATACAAGCTGGATGATTATGGCACAAATATTCAGCATATTGCTGCTGAAGAGGAGCTGTAATTTTTAACGTTTAATGTAAATACTGAACTTTGTGATGACCAGCACGTCGACGCTAACCCCGATTCAATGTACGCGAACTTGGTCACGACACTGACATAAGCCCTCAGGACAAGTATATAATTACAGAAAATGACAGTTTCGTTGTAACGATCAATGATGAAGGTACAGTCCGTTAAAATTAGAGTTGGCATCAAGAGGATCTGGATGTGAACCAAATGACGTTTATAAAATATCACAAAAGATGGGATAGACGTAAATATGAAAGTAAATTCTCCGCCTCGGTGGAACATTTTGCCCCACACTACAACTGGACAGCGAAGTACTATTTCCAACAGGTTTTTTTTTTACTCTCACATCTAGAATTGCCCAGGTAACCACACACCCTGCTATCAAATGATTTTATTCTCACATTTAAAAAAATATGGCCAAAACTTTTAGCTGACCTCACTTCCATTAACGCAAAAGTTGGAGCACAGAAGTAACCCACAACCTCCTTCAGGATATTGTGCAAGGGCTCTGAAAGAACAGTATCAGTTCAACATTTTAACTCATTGCTGTTTATGAAAATTTGGATGATAATGTAGACATGTAAGATGGGAAATATTTGAGAGAATATAACAGTTTCAAAGATAGTCTAGGACATTACAAGATAAAGTAGCTTAAACCATGGTTCAATGAATGTTCAGATTTATTAGGTATCAGGAAGCAAGCAGAATTATAGTGGTTACCAAGTCCAATGGAAATGCAACTAATGTTCATGCAATCCTTCATAATTTTATCAACAAATTTGATGATGAAATGCCTTCTGAAACATGTCAAAATGTAGTACTTGAGGTTCTTATGGTGATGAGTATGAAGATGGCTGTCAGCTGTCTTCTGTCCTCTGGGTTGTGCTCACTGTAGTCTGGAAATGTTTTGCTAAGTTTCAGAGGTCCTTGCTGCCTCCATCATCAGGGTGATGAGGAAGTCATATCAACTCATCACCCCGATGACAGAGGCAGCAAGGACCTTTGAAATGTTGGTAAACATATGCCAGACTACATGGGGCTAAAACCCAAAGTGCTATACTCCACTGCAACTGAGAGATGAATCCCTCTGATCAAAATGTCCATATTAGCAGTGTCAAGGGATTAGATAGTTGAAGATTTCCAGCCTGAACCAATACAAAATGTGGGTTTTAATCTGAAAGTTTCTGAAGATAGCTTCTTCTGGGTTGTTGTATGTGGAGTCTGGCACAAATTTACCATTGTTTCTGAGCAGTCACCTGGTAATGGAGGCAGCAAGCAAATATGAAACATCAGTAAATTCTACCACACTATTGTGTGTAATAACCCACCATTAAAACCTGAAATCTCACCATAAAAGTTTCTGGTTTGACATGGATCACAAATTATTAGACAACTTCTTCATTTTGGATTCCTAGTGATGTTTGCATTCTGTAAACATAATAAATGCATTACAGATCGTTTCAGGTTCTGGTTGTGGGTGGAGGTTATTTGTGTAATGAATGGAATAAATAAATAAATCATTACTGCTTGAGGGGTGGGAAATTATGGCATATTCATCTTTAGCTCTCGGAGTCCAGGGATGGAAAAAGGAAAGCCATACATGGGGACCAATGGAAACGCATTGTTGGGGCAGTCAAGGCCTGTAATAGGCTGTAGAACCCGTGACGATGATGATTATCAAATATTTGTAGGGAAGGGAAGATACTCAATGTTCAAGGTGCAGGAAATGACGAACATGGAATCTCACTTTGAAATTAAAGTACATAAAGTAACAGAACAACTGTGTATTTAATACATTCGAATAAAAACATAGCATTTCTTATCTTGTACAATGTTATGCGAAGGGCACTTTGTTTACAAGTCTTAATTAAGAAGTCTTGCTTATGTAAGTGTATGTATGTTCCAGTCCAAGAATGTGTCCTGGTGTTTATAACATTTTGTAGTCTTATTGTACAGGTAAATTCTACCATATCATTGATTCTGATAACACTAAGCACACTGCAATCTGCATAGCAGACAGCACAAAACAGTCTGTGCTACTAGGTGGTTTTATCTTATGTCATTAACAGAAGGACGAAGTTCTTGCTTTTTATAATATTATCAGAATTTGCAATTTATGACCACAAACTATATATTGTAAATATATATGTATTTATAATCACACCAGTATTAAAACCCTGCAACATTATGCTGTCATTTATTCTTTTCTGTCCATTTTTCTTAAAGTTACAGCTTAAAAACATTTTACAATATAGCTTAAGAAATATACAATTTTTACTACATAAAATATCTCCACCTTTCTGGTTCTGTAATTTGCCTACACGCTATTCTATTAAATTGGTAGGCAACGGAGTAGTTTGATAGAAGTTAATTCTGACATTGTTGCCGACTTCATCAGTGCTAAGGGAGCTGCACCACAAACACTCCCTTATAAGATGGATAGTTTTGGACGGTACATTTATGTTAGAAACATTCAGCTAGGCTTGTTCATGAAGTAGTATTTATGATATAATCACTTTTAATGGGTTATACATACTGATTTATTTCATACTGAGTAAATGTTTTTATCATCCTTTCTAGGATCTGATTTTCATGTGTTTTACTGTGGGGGATCCCCCACTTCAGTATACTTTAGTGTCCCAAGATAACAACACATCTTAGCTATAGCTCACTGAACTCAGAACACACGAAAGTGTCTTTTAGGAATCTTATTATTTTGTTTCAAGATGCCATCTTACACGGGTTATGTACTTGCAGTCTGTACGGAACAGCTTCAAATCCTGCCAGAGCTCACACATTTATCAGTTGGAGAAAAATAATATAATTAAGTAGAATGGAGTTCTAAATTTCTTCCGAGTAAAGATAGTGCAAATCCAGAATAACATAACTCATTGTTACATGTTTTTAGATGTATAATATCACAAATCACGTCCCTTGAAAAACAAGGAAAATGTTAATTCCTGTGTCATATTTTACTGTTCTGACGTAAGTGTCTCAAGTGACTGCAGGAAGTCTGCAGTCACTTAAAACGTTTTTCCACAAAACATGCCCTGTTTTGTTCTTGGAGCTGTGTTAGTACT